CTCTAGATGAATAACAACTCACCACCCCTTTTACTTCCTTAATTTTTTTTGGTTAGCATTTATTAGCATTCTTAGCATCTATTATTATTTAATATACAGTTCTAATATATTAGAAATATTTTCTAGAAAACATATTTCCTTTTTTTTTTTTTGAGATGGAGTCTCGTTCTCTCTCCCTGGCTGGAGTTTAGTGGGCAGTGGTGTGATCTCAGCTCACTGCAACCTCTGCCTCCTGGGTTCAAGCAATCCTTGTGCCTCAGTCTCCTGAGTAGCTGGGATTACAGGCACATGCCACCACACCTGGCTAATTTTTGTATTTTTAGTAGAGAGGGGGGTTTCAGCATGCTGGCCAGGCTGGTCTTGAACTCCTGACCTCATGATCCGCCCACCTAGGCCTCCCAAAGTGCTGGGATTACAGTTATGAGCCACTGCACCCAGCCTATAGTTCCTTGTTTTTAATCTGCCTTTTCCACTAGAATATAAGCCTCTCAGTGGCAGGAATCATTTTCTTCCTCTGTTGTGTTCACAGATATAGTTCCAGTGCCAGGTGTATAGTAGGTGTTCAATTAAAATTTTCTAGATGAACACGTGAATGAATCCAAGTGGTGGTGCTGACAGCCTCAATTAGGGTTTTAGCAATGTCAATAGAAAGGAAGGGCTGTATCTGAAACATTTCAAAGGAAAGTATAATAGGCGGAAGTAGCCAGGAACCTGACTTGGTAGGCCTGGGCAAGAGAGTGAATGAAGAGCTTTGGAGGGAAGCTTGTCCTCCAGCCTGCTGGACTTAAGGTGGCTGCAGGGAAGTAGGGGGAGCTGGTCAGAAGGCTAGGAGAGTGAGTGGTGGTGCTGAAGTGTCAGAACCAGCAGTGGAGGTCTCAGAGTTATTTGGCTGGATATGAGAGTTGGGACTTTTGGAATGGGTGAAACTTGAGCAGATGTAGAGATAAAGTTTAAGGCCTGGTGTGGAGGTTCATGCCTGTAATTCCAGTACTTTGGGAGGCTGAGGTGGGTGGATACTGGAGTCCAGGAGTTGGAGACCAGCCTGGGCAACATGGTGGGACTCCGTCTCTACAAAAAGTACAAAAATTAGCCTGGTGTGGTGGTATGTACCTGTAGTCCCAGCTACTTGGGAGGCTGAGATGGGAGGATCACTTGATGCAACAGTGAACTATGGGAGGTTGAGGCAGCAGTGAACCGTGATCGTGCTACTGCATGCCTGAGTGATAGAGTGAGATCATGTCTTTCTCTCTTTTTTTTACTTCTTTTTTTTTCTTTTTAAGGTGCTTTTGTGTAAAAGATCCTGTCTCTTTAAAAAAAAAAAAAAAAGAAAGCTTAAATCTGAGCTCTGAAGAATCCTCACAGTCTTCAGTGGAAGAAGCAAAATCAGTGGAGGAAAGACATAAGTGTGACTAAGATGTGGAATAAGATAATATTACAAAATCCAAAAGAAGGGACAGTTTAAGAAATGCTTGATGATCAACAAAGTAAAACATGTCAGGGAAGTCCTAGAGGAGGGATACTGAACACTGGAGCTCTCTGAGAAAGGGTTACTATAGTGAAGGCAGCTTGCACTGGGTTAAAATGATGCACTAGATGATGAGGAGATGGAGGCAGTAGGCACGAGTAGCAACAAGGAAACAAAAAGCATTATCTCTCCTGAAGAGTCAGGCAAAAATTTGTCCAGATGATAAAGATCTGAGACAGCTGAGGTAGGAAAGACTAAGTTGATGAGAGCCATGGACACGCAGGACATGGTGAGACAGATCCAAAGCAGTATGCATCACAGCACCTCTATCTTCAACATAAACCATCAGGAATCATCATTTCCCTGTGAATCAGAGACATGGAGGCAAAAAAGGACATTTCAAGCCAGGTTGGGGTGGTGGTGCACACCTGTAACTCCAGATACTCAGGAGGCCAAGGTGGGAGGATTGTTTGAGCCCAGGAGTTTGAGGCCAGCCAGCCTGGGCAGTATATTGAGACTCTGTCTCTTAAAAAAAGAGAAAGTACTAAGACTGTGGTCTGGCTGACATAACGATACCATCTGTTCTTGAAGTGGGGCACTAAAATATCTTTAAAACTCTCCAGAACACTTGTATGAACTACTGAGTTTGTGACCATTCTCCTTAAATGATTAGTTGGACAGTCTCTGGCTGACAGTACCATCTGTGCTGACCTCAAAAGGTGGGGGTGTATGGGTCTGCATGACGTTGCCTTTTTTTTCATTTATTGATTCATTCATTGATCATTCAAGGAGGATTTATTTAGGTTGGCTGAAGACACACCGGTTATCCTGCCGCCCGCCCCCCCACAGACTCACCCTTCAGAGCAGAGAAGGACTAGCAAACTTCTAACCTGTACACCAGTCCCCTTCAGAGACTTTATTTCTTTGCTGTCTCCCTAGATAACCCTGTTCCCATCTGGGGGAATCAGCCCTTGCTATCAAGGAATATTTTTTCATTTGTTTTTGTTTGAGATGGAGTCTTGCTCTGTCTCCTAGGCTAGAGTGCAGTGGTGATCTCGGCTCACTGAAACCGACTCCCAGGTTCAAGTGATTCGCCTGCCTCAGCCTCCCCAGTAGCTGGTTAGGTGCCTGCCACTATGCCCGGCTAATTTTTTTTGTATTTTTAGTAGCGACGAGGTTTCACCATATTGGCCAGGCTGGTCTTGAACTCCTGACCTCAGGTGATCCACCCCCACTTGGCCTTCCAAAGTGCTGGGATTTTAGGCGTGACCCACTGTGCCTGGCCTGAAGAGTTTGACTGAACAGGTTCATGCTTCCTTGCAGCCCTCTCTACTGCTGAGAAAACTGCATGGGTTTCTGTAAAGGGATGGAGAGGTGATAATGTGTGTCTTCTCCATCAACATGAATTGACGCTAAATTGGTAGGAGCCCCCAACGTCTTTCAGAATGGGCTGTGAGTAGGGCTGTGGAGGAACTGGACAAATTGGACAGTAGAGGTGGTCAAGGTGGGGGAGGTTGACACATATTAATGCCCACTGTTCCCCTCACTGCCTCCTGTCCCATTTATGGTTCATGTCCTGTAGACATAAGGCTTCCAACAAACAACACTGGTGTGCTGGTGGAGAGAGCTCACTCTTCTTTCTCTTCCTGCCCAGATGCCCAAATATTCCTGGTTCCCAGGGGAGAAAAGACCCCCTCACCCTGCCCCAGGCACCAGGCTGCCAGCCCATCTGCTGGGAAGAAAGGAGGGGACAGTCTTTCCCATGGGATCCTGGAGAATCAGTTTGAAGATCAGTGCTTTCAGGGAGATCCAACTACTAGACTTACAAGGCATTTCGGTTCACACGGGAAACCAGCAGGATGGAGCTGAACATGAGGTGGGCTGGGGACTAGGGTAGAGGGCTTGCACAGCTGGGTACCTTTGGCCGCCACGTGTCGGAGGTAGGCTAGTTGCTCATTGGTGCCCACCCGCCACTGCAGGATGGTAGAAGCGCCCCCCTCTCTGAGCCCAGTCTCACCGGCTCAGAGGCGCCAGGCCCCCCCCAGGGGCCGGGGCGGGCCGGGAAGGTAATGTAATTCCGGCTCAGCTAACCCGATTACTGCGGCCTGCACCGGGCAGGGCGGCGACGGGGGCGGTTCTAAGGCTCTGGGGCCTGTCCGCTGGGGTCCCATCCCTTGGAAGGACGCAGAGTTCACACACTCCCAGCTCCTGGATCTACGGCCAGAGGTCACAAGGTCACCAAGTGGCTTGAGTCTTTCCCCACCTCCCTTCTCTGACAGCTCCAGGCCATTTTCTGAGTTTGGGTGGGGTAAAATGTTTATGGGAAACAAGGCAGCCAGGATTCAACCAAGGCCTCAGTGAGGTCCCAAGTGTCCCCTGTGGTGAGATTTAGCCCTCCCAACATTGAGGAGGAAGAGTGTGAGAACAGACTTCCTAGTCACAGAATTGAGGGGCAGAGTCCTGCAATGGGGATTCCCTGCCCTTGGGGTCCGGGGTAGAGCGCCAGCCCCAAGAACCCGCCGGCCTGATTTGGCCCGGGTTGAGCCAAGGGTCCGCTTTATACGGATTTCGGAAAATCGAAATTCTAAGAAACAGGACACCAATTACCGGTGCGCTTAAACCGGGCCAGGGTGATCTACAGGAGAGGAAGGAGCACCAGTATCGCCAGCCCTTAGCGGTCGTTCCCCGCCCTAGCCCCTGCCGTCTGCTTTTCACACCTGTTCTTTTCCTGGGCCTGCAGCTCACCGAGCGCCGTTCCCCAGCCCGTTCTTACGCAGCGGGGAAACCACAACGAGATTTGGTCTTCGAGGGCACTTAGGCGGGGACCACAACGAATCCGGGAGTTGGCCAGCAGGATCCATCGAGAGGCGAAGAGTGGGGGGCTGGGGGAGGAGGCACCAGAGGAGGAAGCCGGTGAGGCGGAGGCAGCCCAAAGGCAGAAGCCAGCAAGGATGGAGGCGCGGTGAGCATCTCCGCTGACTCAGCGGCCCTTCTTCGGGCCCCTCCCGCGCTGAGCCTGGTTCCTAACACCCTAGCCCCCTGTCCCCCCGCCCCGCACATCTCCGCCAGCCAGCCTTCGCCCGGCGCTTGGCGCAAACAGGAGTCCCTTCCCCTTTAACTGCGGGGCCCCGCCCCTGCCCTACCCCCAGCCCCCGCTACCCACCCGGGCCGATCTGTCAGTCCCTGCCCCAGCCGGAGCTGGCCAACCCTCTCTACCCCGGACTAGGGCAGCGGTCCCGGCAGCCCAGCGTCTATTTGCGCTTGAGAGCCAGCAAGGAAGCTCCAGGGGCCCCAGCTGGCTGTGCTCCCCCGGGATGCAAGTCCCTGCGCGGACGTCCGGCAGCGGCTGGCACGGGCGCGGCTGCTCCGGGTGCACAGGGATGCTGCTGTTCCGGGGACCTCGGCGCCCCGCCTTGGTCAGCCCCGCGGGCCCCTGAGGCCACTGTCTGGAGCGCGCCGCCGCCGGGTTTCTGGAGAAGCCGGAGGCAACCTCCCCAACCACCGAACCTCCGGCGGTTCTCCTCCGCCCGGACGAATGGAGCCGGGGATGCTGGGTCCACACAACCTTGCACATCATGAGCCAATCAGCTTCGGCATCGATCAGATCCTGAGCGGCCCCGAAACCCCGGGGGGCGGCCTAGGCCCGGGTCGTGCCGGCCAGAGTCCTGGGGAGAGTGGGGCGTTCTCGGGTGGATACCACGGAGCTTCGGGCTACGGTCCCGCCGGCTCACTGGCCCCGCTGCCCAGCAGCTCCGGAGTGGGCCCGGGCGGCGTGATCCGTGTCCCTGCGCACCGCCCGCTGCCCGTGCCACCACCCGCGGGGGGGGCACCTGCGGTGCCTGGGCCCTCGGGTTTGGGCAGCGCCGGAGGCCTAGCGGGACTCACCTTTCCCTGGATGGACAGCGGCCGCCGCTTTGCCAAGGACCGGCTCACGGGTGAGGTTGTCTGACCCCTTCAGCTTCACGCACGACTCTGATCCTGTCTCCTCATCTCTTAGCTTTCTGCTCCAACTCAAGGACCCCTTTCACACCTCCCCCCAGATCTTCCCAGGGGATCCTCCTCCAACTCGAATCTCTGGGTCCTGCCGCCGAGAGGCGATGGGGAGGGAGCTGCCGTCGGTGCCCGCGCCCTCTTCTGCAGTCCCACTGCCCATGAGCGGGGAGGGTAGGGTGAAGTTACCGGGGACGTCTCCCCTGCAACCCAGGGGAAGGGCCTTTCTTGGCTACAGGCCTCAGCTGACGCTTAGGGCCAGGGTAAGGACTGGGCACGGGAGCTCTGCGGCATGGACAGCCGCGTGGTCTTCTCAGTGGCATCTCGGGCAACCCTGCAAACACTGCCCTGCTCTTTCTTCCTCCCGGTAGCCGCGCTCTCGCCCTTCTCCGGGACGCGCCGCATAGGCCACCCCTACCAAAACAGGACCCCTCCGAAGCGAAAGAAGCCGCGCACGTCCTTCTCCCGCTCACAGGTGTTGGAGCTGGAGCGGCGCTTCCTGCGCCAGAAGTACCTGGCCTCAGCGGAGAGGGCGGCGCTGGCCAAGGCCTTGCGCATGACCGACGCGCAGGTCAAAACGTGGTTCCAGAACCGACGCACCAAGTGGCGGTGAGGCGCGGCGTGGGCTAGGGCGGACGGGGGTCCCCGGGCTGGCCCAGTGAGAAACGAGGCGAGGGCGGCCCTGCTGACCCCGCATCTCCCTCCCCTAGGCGCCAGACCGCGGAAGAGCGCGAGGCTGAGCGGCACCGCGCCGGCCGGCTGCTCCTGCACCTGCAGCAGGACGCGCTGCCACGGCCGCTGCGGCCGCCGCTGCCCCCGGACCCCCTCTGCCTGCACAACTCGTCGCTCTTCGCGCTGCAGAACCTACAGCCCTGGGCCGAGGACAACAAAGTGGCTTCCGTGTCTGGGCTCGCCTCAGTGGTGTGAGCGACGCCCGTCCGATCGGCGTGGAGCGCAGGGCCCGGAATGGTGGAGCGCGCAGCTGCTTGTGCCCATGGTCTGGTGGCAGCCGGGTGCGTGAGGAACGGCAGTCCTTGAGGCTGTCGTCGAGGGTTCCTCCGCCACCGGCCGGCTCCCAGGCCAGTTTTGCGTGGATGCACAGCCAGCTCAGAGGTGGCTTTCCCGCCATTTTTCACTTCAAGGCCGTTACGCTGCCGCTGGAACCAGAGGCGCCGAGAGGGCGGGACCTGTAGGACAGTAGCCAGTGAGGTGCAGGGAGAGGGAGGGCTGGCCAATGGGAGCTGCTTTAATGACGGACTCGGAATTTTCTGGCGGGTGGTTGGGAGCTGGGGCTCTGCGGGGCGCTAGGGGCGCGGTGCCGGTGGGGTCTGTACCAAAGGTGTGAAGGAAGGAAGGTGCCAATGACGGCGGAGCACTGGAGGGGGTGCTGGAGCGCAAGAGGCTGGTTGATTGTGACTGGAACCAGAGGGTTGTCCACCCTGGGCGTCTCATCCCTCAACTGTAAAATAATCGCTAAGGATTTATTTCTTCTTGACTTTGAGCCTTGCATTGTCATATGTGTTCAGCCTGCTGGCCACATCCTCTGGCAACACGCCTGGGCAGGAGGCAAGTCGTTTACTTATACACCCAACGAAAGAGAAAATCTAGAAAGAAAATCTGGCTCTGGTGTCACATTGGGACAGAGAAGGGAGAGGAGGAAACAATGGACAAAGTTAATGGGCCCAGTGGAATTAGGGTGAACAGAATTTGGAAAATACTTTGGAAATGAGAAGCTTAAGAAGAATCAAAGGTAATTCCAAGACTGGAAATGTGCAGCCTCAGGAAATCAATGGTGCTGTGGATGCTGAAAGGGAAATTGGGAAGATTGGAGCAAGATTTACTGTATAGGCAAAACTAAATGTTATACCTACAGAGAAAAAATCCTGGAGAAGTGCCTTTGAGGGAGATCAGCTGACATCCACATAGAGGTTGACTTAGATAGAATGAATGAGAACAGATAGAATCTCTGAGGGAGGAAACTCTGAGGAGAAAAGCAGAGTTCTAAGGACTAAACCTTTCCACCAAATTCGACAACCACGTTTGCAATGTGCAAGATGATGGAGAATACCTAAGTCCGAGGGCAGGTGGGACAGACTGGCTCATGCCTGTATTTCCCAGCACTTTGGGAGACTGAGGAGGGAGGATCACAAGGTCAGAAGATTGAGACCATCCTGACTAACACAGTGAAACCCTGTCTCTACAAAAAATTAGCCAGGTGTGGTGGCACATGCCTATAGTCCCAGCTACTCTGGAGGCTGAAGCAGGAGAATTGCTTGAACCCAGGATATGGAGGTGCAATGAGCCAAGATCACGCCACTGCACTCCAGCATTGGCAACAGAGCAGACTCCATCTCCAAAAAAAAAAAAAAAGAAGTCCGAGGGCAGAAAATGGGGAGGGAAGAAGAAACCAGGCAGAAAGAAAGGAAAGCATGATGTCTCTGAAGTTGTTAGAAAGACTTCAGCTTGTGGCTGTGTCAGGGCTGCTGGGAAGCTTGTTAATAGAAAATCTAGCTAGTTAGGGGATGGTCACATTGGCCTTCAGGTTTAAAAAGAAATCGGATTTAAATTGTATGAGGGAAGATTTTGTCTGATTCCTCTAGCACCCCCATCCTTCCTCTCCTGGAGGCTGGTGCACTGTGACAGAGGGAAGAGAGGCTGGGCTAGAGACCAAATGTAGACAGACAACTCATGTCTGTGCTAGTGAAAACTATGTTGGTCATAGATGAAGGACTGATTGGAGATGGGAAGAGGCTAGAGACTATAGTTGGAGGAGCTGGCCCTGGTTCTTTACTATAGTATCATCACTGATTTATGGCTATGGCACTGTAGGACCAAACTCGAAATTGGCATCATAGAAAAATCTTTAATAGACCACAAGTGAGTACAAGAATGGGTTTGGCAAAGTTGGGAGAATGGGGAGCATGTCAGTCCCTCTCCAATAAATAGGAGAAGGCTAAGGAAAGAGTCCTACCCTATGTAGTTACCCCATTCTCTCCATTCTCAGACCACTGTTTCTTGAGACTCAGGTTCCAGGGTTGACATCTGACCCTAAACTTTGGGCTTCTAAATCTGTCTGGCTTTGGTGCCATCCTGAGGGTGAATCTAATGTGATGAGATGAACCCAACTTCATTCCATAGGCAGGCAGGTCATTGCAGGACACAGGGATCTCTGAACTCCTGGGCTGAGGATGATTCGCTCCCTGCTGAAGAATCTTCCATTCCTTCCTTTAGCTGGTTCAGGAGGTCTTTGCTCTCACTGGGAGGCAAGTTACTCAGGAAGTATGGAGGGGCCAATTCCACCAGCCTAATAGAGAGATTCATAATTAGATGATCTGTATCTTCTCTCTATCTCTCTCTTTAGAGAGAGAGTCTGGATTTGTTGCCTGGGCTAGAGTCGGTGGCATGATCACAGCTCACTGTAGCCTTTAGACTCCTGAGCTCAAGTAATCCTTCCCCCTCAATCTCTTAAGTAGCTGGGACTACAGGTGCATATCACCACACCCAGCTAATCTTTTAAAAAGAATTTTTATAGAAACAGGGTCTCAGTATGTTACCCAGGCTGGTCTCAAACTCCTGGCCTCAAGCACTCCTCCCACCTAGTTTTCCAAAAGTGCATCTTCTCTTACAATGCAGACTCTTAAACTTACCAGCCCTTCCACAAATCCTGTCTCCTCAAGTCTTGTTTTTACAAACTACTAAGATCCCTTTTTCTGTCTCTCTAACTCTCCAGCCATAATTTTGGCCCCAGGGAGAGGAATAGGCAGTGTAGGAGGCATGTCAGGGAACTCACATCTGTGGTTGGATCTCAGAAACAATGGAAAGGCAGTTGTCTTTGGATATGGTGAAATTGTGGTAGAGCACCCATGGTGGGGGTCTGGCAGGAGCCCCGTGGCTTCGGCTTCGGTAGCAGCAGTATGAGGAGAGCTGGGCCACATGGTTATGGGTTAGGAGTAGGTAATTTCCAGTCCCATCTGTGTCTCTGGCCACCTTATTGAAAGGCAAAAATATTGATAGAATAAATAAAAGGGAAGAGGCAGGCAGTAGAAAAAAAGAAAAGGGGGTTGAGAAAGAATTAGTAAGGATGGTAAGAGTATTAAAAGTAAAGCATAACACATCTAAAAGTAAAGTATATTACCTCTAGGTGTTATATGGTCTCTACTATACCTCATCGCATTTTCCATAGCCTCTTAAACCCTAAATCCTCAAGGGAAAAGTCCTTTCTGGTTCTGAAGAATCTTTTGAATGGCGACATGGACACTGATTTCAAAGTAGCATACCAATATTTGTTCTCTCAGCCTTTTGCTCCTTTAATCGCCCTCACCCCCCCGCCCTTTCCTCTAACCTTGAGAAAGTATCCTGACACCAGTGCTTTCCGAAGGTCTCTGCGATTCTGCTCAGAGCCAAAGGCTGGTTGGGACAAGGGAAGTTCAATTTGTTGCATGAGTTCTAGGAGCTCTCCCCGAAGTTTATGGGCTTGGCACAATGATGCCCAATTCAGACCTCGAGCCTGGCACCAAGCCTCATCTGCTCCACCTAGGAGAGGAAAGGGACCAGCTAAACTAAAGTACTTGAGACCCCTGAAAGAACCCAACCCTTAGCCAAAGGGCCTCCTCCTGAGCATAGAGATCTGTCAGCTGTTGCATAACATTTCTCCCCTTTGGAAAATCTGGGATTCTATAAGAGAATGCAGAGCTCACTTTGTATAAAGGCTTCGTACACCTGGATCAGAGAACTGTGGTCACCATCTGTGTGTTCCAGGGCCCGACGCAGGGCAGCTTCTTCTGCACAGAGTGGAGGATGGGTAAACCCAGGGGCAGCTGAAGGCAGAAGAGCGGAAGGTAGAATCTGCCATTTCGGAAATTGGAAGGGCCAGTAGTACATGTGGAATGCTGACAAGGCAGAAGTGTCCCTTTGGGAACTTTATTCAATAGTCATAGATAACTTTTAGGTGCTATGCACTTTATTAAACATTGAGGATAAATAAATGAAAGACAGTCTCTGCCATCAGGAGCTTTAAGTCTGGTAGGAGAGACCAACAGGTAAGCAGACTTGATAAGCATAAGTGTTTGTATATGGTACTGTGGAAACAAAGAAGAGGATATCTAATCTAGGCTTCAGGTGGTGAGGATATGAGTGATGTAAGAGAAAAGGATGAGGACCCTTGGGCTAGAATTTGAGATTTGAGTAGGAATTAGCTGAATGGAGAAGGGGCAGGGAGTATGTTTTAGACTGTGGCAATGACATGGCATGTAAGTTAATAACCTAGCATATTTGGGGAATTACAAGCCATCTGATATGGGTGGAGGGAATGAAATGACACATGGCAGAATGGCGGGAGATAAAGCTGGAAAGGTAGATACAGGTAAGATCATGAGAGGCTGGAGTACTGAGGAAAGGAACTGTCTTTAAGGTAAAGGTAAAGAGTAATTGTTGAAGAGTTGATTTTTGTTTTGTTTTTTGAGACAAAGTCTCATTCTCTTGCCCAGGCTGGAGTGAAGCGGTGTGATCATGGCCCATTGCAGCCTCAACCTCCCGGGCTTAAATGATCCTCCTACCTCAGCCTCTTCAGTAGCTGGGACTACAGGCACGTGCCACCACACCCGGCTAATTTTTTGTTTTTGTAGAGACAGGGTTTTACTATGTTGCTCAGTCTGGTCTCAAATTCTTGAGCTCAAGTGATCCTCCCGTCTCAGCCTCCCAAAGTGCTGAGATTACAGGCACAAGCCATCATGCCTGGCCGAAGAAGAGTTTTTAAGTAAGAGAATCCATGTGTCTGAAAAAGTTCACATTACTAGTTAGGAGGCTACTGAGGAAATCCAGCTGAGCAATGAGGAGGAACTACCATCAGCAGATCCTATCTACCATATTCACTGGAAGCGAATATGGAGAATAGCAGATGAATTTAAAGATACACACACACACACACACACACACATTTAGGAGATAAAAATGAAAGAACCTGGAGAAAAACTGGTCTAGAATGATGGTAGCAGAGCAGCAGAGATGATAGTATTATCTGAAACTTAGAATCTTGAGAGATGAAAAAATTTTGTGGTGATGGTGGTGAGGGAGTGGTTTAATAGAGCTTTTGAGTTGAGCTGGGCATGGAGGCTCAAGCCTGTAATTCCAGCACTTTGGGAGGCGGAGGTGGGTGGATCACCTGAGGTCAGGGGTTTGGGCCATGGGGTTTCAGCGTGGCCAACATGGTGAAACCCCATCTCTATTAAAAATATAAAAATCAGCCTGGCTTGGTGTATGCCTGTAGTCCCAGCTACTAGGGAGGCTGAGGCACGAGAATTGCTTGAACCCGGCAGACAGAGGTTGCAGTGAGCTGAGACTGTGCCACTGTGCACTAGCCTGGGCAACAAAGTGAGTTTGTCTCAAAAAAAAAGAAAAAAAAAAAAAAGGCCAGGCACAGTGGCTCACACCTGTAATTCCAGCACTTTGGGAGGCTGAGGCAAGAGGATTGCCTGAGATCAGGAGTTTGAGACCAGCCTGGTCAACATGGTGAAACCCCATCTCTAAAAAAAAAAAGAGAGAAGAAAAAGGGGAAAAAAAAGAAACATCCATCAGGAAGGAGTTGGAGTGTGCTCTCTTTCTCTCCCTTTCTCTCTCTCTCTCTCTCTCTCTCTCTCTCTCTCTCTCTCTCTCTCTCTCTCTCTCTCTCTCTCTCTCTCTCTCTCTCTCAGATCCAGAAGAATGGTAATTGGGTGAGAGATACAAGGCACAGGTTTGGAAATTTTAAGGCTAAAAGTAGCACTTCAAACCATGGGTGTAGATAAACTTGCTCAAAGAGTTCGGGGAATAGAAGACAAAAGAGGCAAGAATAGAACTATAAGAACCAATTTATAGTGGATAAGCAGAGGACAAAGAGCCCAAGGAAAAGACTAAGGGAATGGCCAGAGAGGTAGGATGAAAACCATGAGGAGCAGCCTTACAGAGGCCCAGGGAGGAGGCCGTTTCAAGGTGGAGTGGTCAGCAATCTCGAGTGTCAAAAGAAGGTTATGAATAAGGGCTCAAAAGTGTCCACTGGATTAGGCATCTGGGAGGTCACAGTGAGTTGAAAGCTATTTCACTGGCATGGCTGGAGTGCAGAGCATGAGCAATACACCAGTTAGAACAGGATAGAAATCATGCTATATAGCTGAAGGGGAGGATAGGGTTAAGGAAGAGGGGTGTGTGAGTTTTAGCAATAACAGATTAGGAGAGATTTAAGCATACCAGGGGCAAGAACCAGTAGAGAAAAAAAGGCTGAAGAGACGAGAGGGAGATAGGTGACTAAGCCTGGTTCTTTAGGCATTGTGAGGGGTGGCAACTGGAGGGGAGAATAAAGCGTTAGTTTCAGGAGCACCAAAACCCAAGAGGAAGCACTGAAGTGGCTGCAAGAGCTACTGATTTACAGCAGCGATTTATACCTGTGAGCATGGCAGCCAGGGTGAGCATCTCGTCCACACAGTCAAACTCGCATGAGGCCAGCAGGGCTTTGGCCAGCTCAGGGGCCAGAGGGAACTCTGATAGGATGACACCCAGATCTGACAGGTCCCCATCATTATCCAGGGCTGCCAGATAGTCTAAATCTTCCAGGGCCTGCATCAGTGCTTCTGGAGCTGGTGAGGAAAAGGGGCTTACGAGATGTGAAGTTTCAGAACTGGGTGGTCAGATGGCAGTGCTTGGGCAGGAGAGGTACTCACCAGGCTGGTCCAGGAAGTGACACTCCCCTGGCTCTGCAATCTGTCTCCTTTTTAGTAGTAACACCAGGGAGCTCAGATTCTCCTCACATACCCTGGGTTGGGGCAATGGGGGAGCTTCTAGTTCTAAGAAGGACTTAGGATACAGGCAGAGGCAGGACCCTGAGGGGAAAAAGACCTGGGAAAGACTACTGTAGATTTCTCAGGGCTTGCATGTTGGTGACTGTTGGCTTTTTATTTCAAAGAGGGCAAAGGCTCTTACCTGGTGGGAACCCTCTTGCCCGCAGTTGTCTTGCCTCTGCCTGACACTTGCTGATTGGCCTCAACACTTGGAATTCTGCTCGGATCCTAGGGTTGTAAACCTGTTGCCCATCCCCCAACCAAAGCCAAGACAGATCAGAGTGGGCCATTTCTATCTTTACTACCCCACCGCCATCTCTCTCCCACTCACACTTCGGAGCTCCAGTCCTGAGTCGATGACATGTCGGATGGAAGGGAGGGAGAAGGAGAAGTCAGCCAGCCAGTGAGTGACCACGACCTTTTGGGCATCCATGTCCTCATACACAGCCTGAACGGCTTGTCCACAGCCTGGGTGAAGGGGCAGTACTCGTGGTGGAAGCCCTTGGAGAGGCAGGGACTCTACCTTCTTGGACAAGGATTCACAGCACAGGGAAATTTCCTGAGGAGAAGTTGGAGGGGGGAGCATTAGGACAGTTCTCACCTTTTTGGGGTCACAGATCCCTTTGAAAAACTTTTGAAAGTTATGGCCCTTCACTCTGAGAAAATGCAAATACTCATAAAGTTGAAGGTTTTATAATTTTGGGGGTTCCCTGAATCACAAATCTCTGCATTAAAGGCAATAAAAAAAGTGGGTGGTAGACCTCTTTACCCGGAAATCCTCAAGTTTTTCCCTGGGACCCCAGCAGAGGGTAAATACTGCAACTCTACTATTCCTCACAGGCATTGCTCCTATTCCCATTCCCCAGGACTGGAAGATGATGAATACCTCCTTTTGCAGGCTTTTAAAAATTTTTACCTCCTCACTGGGCAGGTACACTAGCACGTCTCCTGGAGCCTCCTTCTGACACAATTCAAGCACTGCTTGGCAGGCAGCTTCCACCCGGTCAGAGGGGATGGTGTCCTGGTACATGGAGGAAGGTCTCTCGCCAGGCTCTCTGGGTATATGCACAACAGGAGGATTGCCCCAGAAGTCTCGGAGCTTAGGTTCAAGGGCTGGGTCAGTAACCACAACCACTCTGGGGTCCCCCGGAAGGTTTTCCAGCTTGGCATCTTGCAGTAGCCCCTGGAGTGAATCCGATGCCACCGACCGCTCCTGAGCCTCATCTAGTACTAGCACGCCCCAGGCTCCAGTGCCCCGGGTCGAGGCCACCTCCTGCAGAAGTAGCCTGTCCCAGCAGAACCTGTTGGCATTGGTAGTGAGCAGGGGAATCAGTATGGACACTGACCAGCTCCACAAGCTCAGGGGAACTTCTCCCCAAGGGACGTAGATTTTGATACTGAAGGTCAGAAAAAGACACCGTGATTTCCTGAGCCTGTGGACCTATATCTGTGACCTCATAACCCCACTGAAAACACTTCGTTCACAAGGTATACTCCAGCTGGGAAGTGACAGTTTTCTGATGAGGGTGTGGCTGAATGTCTGAGGTCCCTGGCTGGGATTCAAGGGCTTAATTTAGCCATTGCACCAAATACAATTGAGTGAGTTGGGGCCAGGCATGGTGGCTCATGCCTGTAGTCCCTGCACTTTGGGAGACTGAGGTGGGCAGATCACTTAAGACCAGCCTGGGCAACATGGCAAAAATATAAAAATTAGCCAGCCATGGAGATGCATGCCTGTAATCTCAGTTACTTGGGAGGCTGAGGCTGGAAGATCACTTGAGCCTAGGAGGTTGAGGCTGCAGTGAGTTGTGACTGCATCACTGCACTCCAGCCTTGGTGACAGAGTGACACCCTGTCTCCAAAATAAATAAATAAAGTAAATAGAGTGAATGGGGCTGAGGGAGGGTATGGTGAGATGTCAGAGGAATGGGCTTGTTTCTACTGAGTGAGGGAATTAGATTTGGGTAAGGCCTGCAGAGGGCCCCACCTGAGCAGGGTGTTGGGCCCCGTGCAGTCCTCCTGGGGGATGCTGTATCCAACCTCATGACCCAAGGTCAGGTCCATCTCATCAGCAACCCGCAGAGCCAGGCTCCGGGCTGCAAGAGGGTAGGGCTGCGTGACAGTAACCTGTCCTTTCTGGAACCCTCTGGCCAGCGCAAACTCTGCACACCACTGAGGAATCTGGGATAGAGGTAGAGAAGGACAACCAGTGAGGAAGATGTAGGACTTCAGTCAGAAGTGCTCAGGGGGCTTGGCACGGTGGCTCACGCCTATAATCCCAGCACTTTGGGAAGTCGAGGTGGGTGGATCACGAGGTCAAGAGATCAAGACCATCCTGGTCAACAAGTTGAAACTCTGTCTCTACTAAAAATACAAAATTTAGCTGGGCATGGTGGTGCACGCCTGTAGTCCCACTATTAGGGAGGCTGAGGCAGGGGAATTGCTTGAACCCAGGAGGTGGAGGTTGCAGTGAGCCAAGATCGTGCTATTGCACTTCAGTCTGGGTAACAACAGCGAAATTCCGTCTCAAAAAAAAGAAGTGCCCAGGGAACTATGGCCACTTTAATTTTTCCTTATTTGAGGAGTCCCTTGGTCTTTTACCAGCCTCCTGAGCCAGCCTAACCCATCCCATCTCTTTACTCACCTTCCCCATGACCCCACACAGCCCAGTCCTCCCTTGCCCAGCGAAAGGCCAATTCCCTAGCTAGCTCCTCCCTTTGTCCACTCCCAGAATCTGCCCGCCCCCACAACCCTGCCACACCTGGGTACTCTTGCCAGAACCAGGCTCCCCAGATACCAGCACCACTCCAGTGGGGTTATTCTCCAACTGCTCCAAGAAGGTAAAGCGAGCAGCCCAGATGGGCAAGGCTTGGCGCTGTTCCAGCAGCTCATAGTAGCGGGAAGAGAAGGGAAGCCCATCAAAGGGGTTCACAGCCAGTTCAGACTCCCCAGGACTTGGGCCATACTCTTCTGCCAGCCTGAGAGGCTGAGAGGCCATGGTGGCTCTCTGGCAGGACCTGCAGAAGTCAGGGCAGCCAGTAAGGTCATATTTGGTGACTGATATCCCACCTTAGCCCTGATCCTTAACTTCTACCTTCAGGTGATCATGCTCTGGGGCCCAGCCTTCCCAGCATTTCCTGCCAGGAAACAATGCTAGGTATTTTGGTAAGGGGCTATTGAGAGTTAGTTGACAGTCCCTATAGTCAGGTAGTAATCTACCTGATGCTATTACCCTGTCGGCAGGTAGTAGAAATCATGTTACTTAGGCAGGGGTCCTCAGGGGCAGTAGAAATTATGCGAGACCTAGTAACCTATGGAAAGGTACTGAAAGAAAAAGGATAAAGAATATAAGTGCCAGGGAAAGGAACAGCAAAGTCACAGGGATCCTGGATTCAAACCTGGTTGCAGCTTTAGGACCTGTCAGGACAGCAGCCAGCTCCAGACCCGCGTAGCTAGTCACCACAAACCCTGACCGTGTTAAGTACAAAGGTGAATTCCAGTTCTACCCTAAGGCTTGGCTCAAACTTCATATCCTGAAACGGGCTTTTGGGGTGGGGCTATTTGCTCCACCCTAATTAACCTAGTCAGGAACCTATGGAAAACAGGCTCCCACCACCATACTGAGCATGTGTGAACTCTATTGATGATGTGTACTGTGCTTGTAAAAAGCATGCTGGGATTTGTAGTTTTGCAGCAGCTTCTTCCAAAACCTGGGCTGAACACCCATGCTGGGTCTTCAGTTCAGTTTACACTTCCTTATCACTTATCCCTTGGCATGAGGAGGTGATTTTAGACAGTTGTAGTCTGACTACCCCCCTCAAATGTACAAGGAGACTCTCACCCCCATCCTTCCCAGCCAAGGAATAAGGAACCCACTCACAGGGCTTTTGAGACCCAGAGAGACAACAGACACCTTGAATGAAAATCATGAATTTAATGTGATATTGGGGGAGCCTCATCCTTCCCTTTTTACAACCCACCCACCCATCCAGCCTGTTGTAAGTCGGGTGAGGGCTGCCCCCAGTCTCCGTCCTGCGGCTCTGGGTGCCATCCTGTTCCTTTGAGTTCAGTCAGCCTCCTGGGCTTGTCTCTCTGTGAATCTCCTGTAGGGCATAGGGAAAGATATTATTCAGGTTTTACCAGTTGCTCCATAACTCCATTCTCCAATTTTCCCCTCCTCTAACCCCCTCACCTTCTTGCATATTCATATAGTGCTTGCTTACGCTCCTGTAGGCTCTCCTGCCGGGCCCAGGAAGACTTGGCAAATGTTAGGACTGTTGGCTGAGGGGTCACCAGGCCAGAGCTGGGGAACTGAGGTGATCATAATGTCAGAGGGCTTGCAGAGTCATCATCATTAAACATGCATCGAATGCCTACTTTGCAAGAGAGGCACTATGCTCGGGTCTCAGGATAAAAAATGAAAAATCAGGGATAAGGGAGTAGGTAGCCTGCCCCCAACTCACCCCAAGTCTTGGACCTGACCATTTTCTAGGTCTCACCTTGGAGGCAGAGGCTGTGGGTAGGGACTGAGTTCCCTGGGTGATGTCTTCAGGCATGAAAGCTACCGCTCCCTCAAGCAGATTAGTGATAGTCAAGTCTACACAGCCAGTCTTGGCTGGGGAGAAAAGAGAAGGGAGTCTACTCCCTGTTCACTTTCTTCCTTCACAACCCACTTTTCCTCCCTGTGTAGAGCTACCCTTTCCCATACCGAGGTCTCTCTGGATGACACCCAATGGCACATGGGGCAAAACTTCTTTGACTCTCTGAGCCAGAGTTGCCAGCTGCATATCAGGAGAAGGACCAGGGGAGGGAGGGAAAGAAGACTGGGCTGTGGAAAAAGCAAAAAAAGAAAAGAAATTTTGTTAAGTAGCAAACTAGGAGAAGGAGAGGCTAACTAGCACAGGAATAGAGGAGGAATCACACTAGGCTGGAAAAAAAAAAACCCAAAAGGTGTATGTATAGAGACCACATACCTGACTGGGGGCGCAATCTGGGGTGTCTTTGTCGCTTCATGTGCTCTGCTTTGTCTGCTGGAGTGAGCCGTGTCCCTGTCTGGCCCAATTCCTTGGCCACCAGCTAGGGAGAATTGGAAAATTGGAAGTGTCAAGATCTCAAGCTTTCCTCCCCCTTCTCCTAAGCAGGGACCGAACCTCCACCCTGCCTGTATATCCAACCACCTGTTGTACACGGAGTGCAAACGCCTCATTCCCTTCTCCTAGTTGGCGATGAACAGGACGAAGCCACCTGCAAAAAACAATCCAGGGCTATGTTGCGGGCACCCAGGGTAAAGGCTGTCACTGCTCCCCACTTTGGTACCTCTTTGCATGGTGAGGGTGGGAAAATAGTATATACTTTTTGTTGCCTCTATGGTAGAACCTTGATATTAAAAGATCTACAAATGGACAGGGCAGAGGCCACTACTTCCTTGACCTTGAGATGAACCTCTCCCCAGTGACCAAAATGTGAGGGCAGTTAATACCTTACTTGATACACCGTGAAAGGGACGAAAAGTGACCACAGGAGTTCTGAGACCCAGGAGGCATCTGACACCGTCTGAGGGGAGGGCATGAAGTGAGGCCTAAGCCAGGGCCTGGGATGGGAAACTTCCCCTCCGAGCCCCAAGATTCCCTGTTCAACACACACTCACCACAGAGACCAGGGGTCTCTGAACTTGCAGGGTAAGAGGTTGTACTACGTCCTGGATAGAAAATGGCCAGGAACTAGAAGAGGAAAGAGAAAGTAGGATGGGAATCCAGCCAGCCTAGTCAGTAGCTCATACCTGCCTTAAAACAGGCAACTATCAAACTCTACAAGTAGATAATTGAAGAATGAAGGGATTCAGGAGAAAGAAAAGTAGACAGAAAGGAAATGAACTAGAGATGTTGGGGGCTAAGGGCTGAAGAAGGTTGTAAAAACTCAAGGGCCCACAAGCTTGACCACCCGATACCTGTGCTAAACCCACCTGAAACGCAGGAGCCCCTCCCGGCCATTGGTGGCCTCTTCCTCAGGGAATAGCAGCAGAGGGGTGGGGGGAAGCCTCGTGGAAGCACAGAATCTCTTGAGTGACTCCACCAACTCCCCCCGCCCATCCATCTCCATGAAGCCCCGAGACCAGCACACAAAGCTGGGGGGACTATTGAGTAGAGGCTGGGAACCAGGAGAAGAGAAAGCAAGATGAAAAAAAATTGAGGAAAATGAGAAAAACTGACATGTGGGGTGGAGGATCAGGGTTAGGGGTAAGGGTCAATATCCTCCATGGGGAACGCGAATGGGGCCTGGGGGCCTTCAGCTGGGCCCCAGGGAACCGCCCCGTGGCGCTCTCGGCCTCGCTCTCACTCACGGTGCTACAGGTGGTGAGTAGATTGACTATGTTGTGGTCGAAAGGTGTCACGTGGTTGGAAATGAGAACCCTGACGCTGTGATCCCGGAGTCCAGAGTCCTCCTGCCGGGCCACGAGCCCCAGCAGCGCACACATGGTCCGCACTACGAACCTGGGGACACAGGAGGTGGTGATTGTGTGTCTTCGGGCCAGGCCCAGCCCTGACACTACCCAAACGCCTGCGTCAGAACCTGCGAAGGACGCTGTCTGGTAGCGCGCAGCTGACCAGGAAGACGTGGATCCCGAGAAAGAGGCGCAGGACGAGGAGGCAGAAGCCAACCGGCGCGTAGAGCAGCAGCGCGAGCAACAGAAAGCCGTCACCCGGGAGCCTGGGGGCGAGAGGCGAAGTGGTCGGGCACCGAAGGCCAAGAGGACGCGAGGATCGGCCTCTTCTCGCCGGGGCTCTTACCGGTGAGAGTCAAAGAGCCTCTCCGGCCCCGGGGCTGAGGGAAGCTCCATTCCTGCAGCTTCAGGAGCGCCCGGCCGTCGTTGCCGCCATCTTCGCGCCCGGCCGCAAGGGCTCCTGGGAAGGCGGAGTCTTTGGGTATCCGCCCGAGGTGAGTGGACCTGAAGTCCTGAGGCGCCCCGGAAGGGCTAGCACTCCCAGCATGCCCCGCGGCTCCTTGGCCCATCTCACAACTCGGGTCTCGCGGAAACCACAATTCCCGGCATTCGCGGGATGCGGAGAGGCGGCCTCCCGGAATCCTGGTTCCGGCGTGCACTTCTGGAGGACTTCAAGTACCAGCGTGCCCTGCGTCCTACTGTCCGCTTGCTCGCGTCCTGGGTGCCGCCTCTGAGTAGGGCGGGCGAGGAGGCAGCCGAGGCGGAGCTGATGGCTGCGCTGAGGGCGGGGCGGGGTGCAGGCTGGATCCTCCGGGCATGGCGGGCTTTGGGGGGTTTTCGCTGGGGGAAGAGACCCCTGTTGACCCCTGACCTCCGGGCTCTGCTGACGTCAGGAACTTCTGACCCCCGGGCCCGAGTGACTTATGGGACCCCCAGTCTCCGGGCCCGGTTGTCTGTTGGGGTCCCTGAACCCCGAGTACGTCTGACGTCTGGGACCCCGGGTCCCCGGGAACAACTGACTGAGGGGACCCCAGATATCAGGACCCAGGAGGCCTCTGGGAACTCTGGAAGCCGTTCGCGCGCGTGGCTGGCGGTGGCGCTGGGCGCCGGCGGGGCAGTGCTGTTGTTGTTGTGGGGCGGGGGTCGGGGTCCTCCGGCCGTCCTCGCCGAAGTCTCTGGCCCGCCTCCCACCTCTCCCCGGAGTCAGTACAACTTCATTGCAGATGTGGTGGAGAAGACAGCACCTGCCGTTGTCTATATCGAGATCCTGGACCGGTAATGGTAGGGGTAGACCCGGAGGCTGTGAAGCCACGGGCCGGAGGGCGGGCGGGTAGGAGGGGTCAGAGCCTCCTCTTACCCGTGCTTTCCCTCCATTCCAGGCACCCTTTCTCGGGCCGCGAAATCCCTATCTCAAACGGCTCAGGATTCGTGGTGGCTGCCGATGGGCTCATTGTCACCAACGCCCATGTGGTGGCTGATCGGCGCAAAGTCCGTGTGAGACTGCTTAGCGGCGACACGTATGAGGCCATCGTCACAGCTGTGGATCCTGTGGCAGACATCGCAACTCTGAGGATTCAGACTAAGGTAGGGGCTGGGGTAGGCCAGTTCTGGTTGGAGCCGCTTATTTGCTTGCATCTCCAGATGACAGGTCTCTTATACCCATTCTCCCTTAGGATCCTCTCCCCACGTTGCCTCTTGGATGCTCATCTGAGGTCCGGCAAGGGGAGTTTGTTGTTGCCATGGGAAGTCCGTTTGCACTGCAGAACACGATCACATCCGGCATTGTTAGCTCTGCTCAGCGTCCAGCCAGAGACCTGGGACTCCCCCAAACCAATGTGGAATACATTCAGACTGATGCAGCTATTGATGTGCGTCCTGACAGGAAAGAAATGACAAATGATGGGGGAGGGGGAAGAGGCTTTGTGGTACAAGCACCAACTGATACATGTTGGATGACACTGTATACAGACCTTAGGCTGCAAAAATGTGGCCACTCATTCATGGGCTGAGAAAGAAGAGAATTTGGAGAAAGCACCTACATCCTGGTATGCCCCCAGACTTAGAATCCCCAGATCTCTTTCATGTTTTGTCCTTGTTCTGCAGTTTGGAAACTCTGGAGGTCCCCTGGTTAACCTGGTGAGTGGGACATCCTTCCTTCCAAGAATCCCTGCCCCAGGTCAGTGTGGGAAGGGTGGTTTTTCCCTAATTCAAAGATGTTTGGTCAAGTTTCTGAGCAGTTCTTTATTGGCTATCTCTCAACATCCAACCAGATTTCCCCAACACTTGATGCTACTTTTGTTCAGGTGCCCCCATCCCCTACTATCTGTTTGGGCTAGGGAACAGGGGGCTGTGTCCCTGCAGGATGGAGAAGTGATTGGAGTGAACACCATGAAGGTCACAGCTGGAATCTCCTTTGCTATCCCTTCTGATCGCCTTCGAGAATTTCTGCGTCGTGGGGAACAGGAAAGTGAGCCTGGCTTATGGGGAAATGGGTTCCTTTAAAATGGTGGGTGGGAAATAGGTGAGGGGCATTCATTGGGACTTGCTGGAGGGTGGTCTACTGGGAGAGGAGGGTAGGGGAAGGATGTCGCTGGGTGGGACTCATTTGTCCCTCTGTCACAGATTCCTCGTGTGGAATCAATGGGTCCCGACACTGCTATATTGGGGTGATGATGCTGACCCTGACTCCCAGGTATGAGCTTTAGGGATAGTGACATGTAATGTAACCAGTGTAATCAGAGGTGGGCCTCTGGTACCTCTGTTGAGCTTTATTCTCATTTCTCTCGTTATCTAAAATGAGCTGCATCACACTTGGAACAATCACAAGAGCTGTCCCCCTTCATCATCTTGACTTTCTTATCCCACTCCACTTTGCACACCTGTCACCAGATTGATTTCATCCTGTTACTGCTTTGATTTCAAGCCTTCAATCCATTAACTTGGCATTTAAGGGCCATTTTCCATCTGTCTGTAAATCAACTTTCTAGACCTGGCTGTTATACCTTCTTATATGTATACTCAGCCAACTTGATTTCCTTCTCCCATGCTGTTTTATTTATGCTGTTCTTGTTTTATATGGTTAATATCACATCCATCCTTTTAGGCTCAGTTTCTTTCTCCTTAAAGCTTCTCTTAGCATTTAGAGTGACATTAGTGCTATTAACACTGTTTGTCATTTGGTGCCCTCATGTGGTGTACATCTTTTATGTACATGTTGCTCTTAACTGCTAGAAGACAGAAAGTGAGTGGCCATTGTATTTTGTAGTACCTAGTGCATGTCCTGTCACTAGGTACCTAGTGCATACCTTTGTCAATGTGTCGATGAGAGAGTTGAGGTGAACTCAGGATGGGGAGAATGCCTAGGTTTGGCTAATAGGGTGATCTGTGTACTTTCAGCATCCTTGCTGAACTACAGCTTCGAGATCCAAGGTTTCCCGATGTTCGGTATGGTGTACTCATCCATAAAGTCATCCTGGGCTCCCCTGCACACCGGTGAGGGAGAGGCTTCAGTGTGAGATGGGGATGGGCGAGGTGTGCATGTGTCCTTGAACTGGGCTTTCTATTCCTTCCTTTCTCTCTGTCTGTTTTTCTCTGTAGGGCTGGCCTGCGGCCTGGTGATGTGATTTTGGCTATTGGGGACAAGGTGGCACGTAGTGCTGAAGATATTTATGAAGCTGTTAGAACCCAACCCAAGATGGCATTGCGGATCCGGCGGGGACGAGAAACACTGACCTTATATGTGACCCCTGAGATCACAGAATGAACAGATCAGCAAGAGTATGAGGCTCCTACTCTGATTTCTTCCTGCCTTCCTGGCTGAGGCTCTGAGGGTGCCGGGACAGAGGGTTAAATGAACCAGTGGGGGCAGGTCCCTCTAACCACCAGCACTGATTCCTGGGCTCTGAAGAATCACAGAAACACTTTTTATATAAAATAAAATTATACCTAGCAACATATTATAGTCAAAAATGAGGTGGGAGGGCTGGATCTTTTCCCCCACCAAAAGGCTAGAGGTAAAGCTGTATCCTCCTAAACTTAGGGGAGATACTGGAGCTGACCAACCTGACCTTCCTATTCAAGACAATGAGCTGTTGCCATCTTTTGTTGTGGGCAGTTAGTCAGGTGGTGCTCTTTCTGGTGTGGTGTGCTCTGCTCGGCGCTGGGCCTGGGAGCAAAGATTCCCCATGCTTGGCCACAGATACTGACAGCTGGCCTCTGAAGGAGGGTGATAACTTCTGCTTGACAGTTCCACATCCATAGTGCATGGTCCAATGAGTGCGGTTGCTGACATGGGTTCCTTGGTAAGCTCCTGAGGTAATGGCAGCCTCAGACCCCTGCCATTAAGGGCCAGTGGTGGTTTGCAGAGGGTGGTAGCACTTAGATAATCTGGTTGCTGGTCTGGCCAGGGTAGCGCTCAAACCTCCTGTTGGCCTCTTCACTGAAGGCATCACCTGCAGATTGGACAGGCAATTTGGGAGGTGCCCTGCACAGAGGGAGGCAGAGAGACCCACTGTGGGGAAGGGTAGGTAGAAGTAGAGGGACTGAGAGCTCCAGAGGAGGGTGGAAAGATACAGAAACAAGTTACATAAAAAGAGAATGAACGTTTCTCCCTCCCATCCCCTAATCTTCCTGGGTTGCTCTTCCCATCAAATACCGATGTGGCAGTTGTGCACCCAGATACGATGTCCATCATATTTGCAGTTACATTTCATTGCATTGTTGGTGAAGTCACTCTCTGCTACTTCAAAATTTGGGTTGATGACTACCTGTAAGCGAGAGAAAGGTCACTTAACCCAGTGACAATCCTCAAATCCAAAAGTGACTTTAACACTTCTCCCACTAATCCATCTGGAAGCCCCAGACTCCAGGTACCTGGAGAATGTAGTTTCCTGGCTTCACATCTGTGATGTCAATCCATTGACAGTCAATGTCATGCCGGTAGAGATCCCAGCAACCCACGGTGATGCCTTGCTCTCCAAAGTTGGCACACTCATACCTCTTGGAGACATCTGGAGGGATTAGCATGTGTCAGTCTAAGGAAAGGCTATGCAATGGACACCATGTAGTCCACTTCAGGCCCCTACTCACCCTCCTGACACTCAGTGTCTTCCAGGCAGAAACTAGCTTTGTGGCCCTCAGCCACCTTGGTGCCATTTGCGGTGAGGATGTCGTAGTGAGTGAAGATGTCCATGCTGTGGTAATGCCTGTGGGGACAAGGGAACTTCTGTTTCCTTCTCTGCCCCCAGAAGGTTTGTACCATCCCCTGTGGCCTTGCCCTTCTATTTGACTCCCTAACCTCTTACCCATGGCACTCGTGCCACACCCAGGAATGGCGCCCAGCCTTGGGCCTAAAGTCAGCTCGTCCCAGATTGTGGATCTGGGAGGAGAATCGGAGTAGACGCCGGTGACCATAGGGCCAGTTGGCTGAGCGGGCTGAGCTGGCCAGGCAGTTCTCTTCTGCAGCACAGTACAACATATGCAGGGGCCGGTCTTCAATGTAGGCAGTCTCCTGCACCAGTGCTGAGTGCAGCAGCAGATCTGATGCAGCTGCACCAAGAAAGGAAGGGGGTGGTAGAAGTCACTGCTAACTTCACAGAGTGGGGTGCTTCCATCCTCCCTAGTGTGTGAGACTGGTTTTCTATGGGAAAGGATTGCCCCTCCAGATTACAGCCCTCTCTTTCCCTGCAAAGGGGTGGTCAGAGCCTCCCTTCCCTGGCTTGCATCATCCCCTCCTTCACTCACTCTCAGAACAGATGACTCCAGCAGTGAAGCGGGTCCCTGTCCTCTTGCAGGCGAGGTGGGTGCCATGATGGGCACACTGGTCCAGGGACAGCTCAGTCCCTGTGCAGCGTACTCCACTCATCACCACTTCTGTTATATTCCCAGAGTCCCAGTACCAGGTCTCCTGGGGACATATGCAGATGTTTCTATAAGGCCCAGGATCCAGCATCTTGGGCCAAGGGACTCCTTCCTCAGTCCTCAGCCCAAAACACAGGCTTGAGACAACAGCCTTGGCTCCCTCTCCTTCACACTTACCTGCAGACCGTGGTTGGCGTAGCCTAGACCCAGTTGCCTACAGGCCACCATGGCCTCCAGGGTCCCCCAGTCATCCCCGCAGATGAGGCCCCAGCGAAGGGACCCAGGTCCCCCTATTTGCACCTCGACTCGCCCCTCATGTTGGCTGCGGCCCCCACTGAGTCGGATCTGTAGTGACACAGAATGGAAGCACTGGAGGAAGCTTTGGGTGAGGTGGTGGGAGTCGATAGCATAGATGTGGCTGAAGCATGACTTAGAGGTGCATAATGGACTAGCAAGTGATGGGTCAGGTGGGAGCTGCAGGATGGCAGGGGCCTGGGGCAATGGGCTGGGGGCCATCAGACTGCAGATTGGAGGCCAGGACTGGATAGGATTAAAGAGACACCTCAGCCAAGGTGGAGAGTATGACTGACCCTGGTCTCCACCCCAGTGTAAGGTAGGTTGCACCGGACCCCGGCATCCTGGCTATGTGAACAGTCCTCAGCTGTGATGTTCTTGTGGGGGCACTTCCAGAGGGAGAGCTCCTGTCCAGAGCAGCGCACTTCACTCAGGTGGATAGCACCCATGCCTAGGGCCAGATGGCAAAGATCAGGAAGTTGTAACTAAGCATATATGTCTGCTCAGGGGACACCTAACCTTCCCAAGGAATGTGTCCCCCAGGAGTGTGTACCTCCTTCCCTCTCCCTCCCACCTCCATGCTGCCTCACCCTGCCCCATGCGAGCGCCACTCAGAGCTTCTCGAGCACTCCCGAAGCCCAGTTCCCGACACACCACGCTGGCTGCATGCAGGTCCCACTTGCGGTCACAGACTGTGCCCCATGTGCTGGCCTTTAGGACTTCCACCCGGCCCTCTCCAGGGTGGGCCCCACCTTTTAGACGGACACGGCCCTATAGAAGAGAGAAGTGCCCCACAGAGGTGAGTAGCAACATCTGCATGGAGAGGCTAAGCAGACTTGGGAGATGAGTGAGACTTTGGTGGGAGGGAGTGGGTGGTATCAGGTCTGTGGCCCACCCCCTGGAAGGCTCCTCTCCTCAAAGGTCAGGGCTGTGCTTAGTCAGGGGTTGCCAGGCTAGGGGTTCTCCACCTGGGGTGGGAAAGGTCATAGTCACTGTCTCACACACCTCCCCCTGAGGCTTCAAATGTTGTTGCTTCTTCTGGCCACTGGACGCTGCGTAGAGAGGGCCTGGCACACAGCTCACCACCGCAGGGCCCCCCCCAGGGCACCTGGTGGTGTCATTGGCACGATAGAACTCCAGGGAACAGAGGGAGAGGTGGGCTTCCGTGCCCATGCACGCCACCCCATGCAGACCAAAGGAGTGTTGCTGCCGCTGGGCCAGCAGCCTAGGAGGACAGGAGTCAGTTGCAGTAGGGTAAAACAATGCTCCTGCCTCTTGGTCCCACAACCCTCCTCCCACTTCATGCCTCTACCATGCCCCCAACCCTTTTGTGACCCTTTATCCCTTCTTCTTCCCTCTTCTGTGTTTCCCTCGGCAGGGACAAAGGGATTGCTGAGTTTCCAGGCTGAGGGAGCCTCAACTACCCGGACAGGAGCATCCTTGGGGACCTCCTACAGCAGAACAACCCTAAGGGAAGGATGGCTAGTCTCGACTTGGTTCCAGGCTGCTGGTCCTAAAGGAGGCTGAGGCTAAGGCTTCAGGGAATGGGAAACCAGGACTTTTCAGTTGGAAGAAATGGTCAGGAGGGAGTGGCTGACACAAACAGGAACCCTGAAAAGCGAAGGCAAGCAAGTCCTTGTGTGATGCTGAGACCAGAATAATTGAATGAGTCAGGATGCAAAGGACTGAGAAAGTCTCCCATCTACATGGCTCCACAGAGGCCATAGACTCTGCAGGACAGATTGGAGGGGCAGGTACAGCAAGGACAGACCAGCAGGTAGACACAGGAAAACTGGGACTGGCATATGCAAGAATGAAGATGTATAAACGCAGGACAGGTCCAAGTTTGAGGGAATACATGGCCAGAGAAAGAAGGTGGATGTGAACAACAAAATGGCAAAGACATCTCAGGACCTGAGCTGTGTAGGTCTTTAAAAAGGTTGTCCATGCTTCTGCAATTTCAACATAACAGTGTCCTAAAGCCATCTGAATAGGATAATGGGACTGAACTATAGATGCTAAAGCTTGGAAATGCTGGCGAGATGTTTGAGAGAATGAAGGGACTTGTTTGTCGACACCAGTGGAATGAGAAACTGCAATGAGGCACGTGCAGGACAGAAGTACACTTTGCCCAGAACAGCTGGGTCAAGCCTGCAGAGGAAGGGAAGATGAGCTCTGGCGTTGGCGGAACTGGCGGTGAGGCTGATGTGGTCATGCATTATTGCAGTACTGGGCCCTATCACTTGATGTCAGAGGAAAGATGGAATATGATGACTTGAAGCCATTGGCTAGGAAGACACAGAAGGAGAAAACATTTATAAACAAAACAAAGGAAGCCTGGAGAGTTTACAGAATACCTTTGGAAGCTCAGGATAAATGGATCCTGAAGATCTAAGAGATCAGACATTCTCACAGAGTCTTGTTTGGCTGAAAGTGAAAGTCAACAAGGCCATTACAGGAAGAAGACATCTATCTTCTAAACATCTTCATGCCCTTTGTCTACAATGAACAAAATAAAAATGGCAGTGTGTACTTTAATGTGGGGGTCGGGGAAGGCTGGAGTATGGCCATGTTGGGCAAAGATGATCCTAAGTCAACAGGGCACTACAAGAACATCCCCAAATTCCTGAGATCCTTTGAAACCACCAGAGCGAGAAGCTGGGGAATGAGGTCTATCAGGAGACCACCGGGTGAGACTAGTACTTGTTGAGGACAGGAGGGAGAAAGGGATGAATTCTCGATACTTCAGTCCCTGTTGAAGTTATCATGGAGATTTTTAATATGCAAACTGCCTTTTGAAGACAAGTTAGATGTAATCACAGGGGTTGGAAGCTTCCTACTTCTGTGAGTTCTGAAGGAGCCCAGGAGCAAAATGAGGGAACTGGGAGTCTAACTGTGGAAAATGAATCAGGGAGGCAGGGGCTGTCAATCAGACTGCATTCCTGGTAAAGGCTCCAATGGGGACCCTGAGTTTCACTCCATCTTGGGTAAGCTGGTGGCACTTATTTTTGATAATTAATCAAATAAAGTATTTGATTTGGGAACACTGATCCTTTAGGCAAATGTAACCTCTTACAGGAGAAGCAAGTATGGCGTCTGAAAGAGAAAAGCACCAGGTTGCCTCCTGAAACTCACCAGGGGAAGATAAGTAAGCATGTGGAATGAGGTAGTCAGTGAGTGAAAAACGACAAACCTAGGACAAGCATCACTCCTCAGAGACCAAGGTAAGGAAGGGCCAGTCTTACGGAATACTTTGGTAAATGCCCTGGAAGGTGATTTCTAAGAGCTGCTGCTGCTACTCCTCTTGGTCAGCTCTTTCAGCCACACGGGCCTCCTGGACCCCCCCTCCCTGACCACAGCCCAGTAACTCCATGCTCTCCTTTCCACCCAACCTGAATTTTATTTACCTTTTGCTTGGCCCCCTGCCCCCTCGGGGTTTGGGTTTGACTTTAAGCTTGGTGACTGGTCTGCAAAAAGGAGAAGGAAGTTGGTGGAGGTAGAGGTTACATATGTGGCCCAGGAAAGGTAGAGGGTTATTTTTCTGTTTCTGGGAAGGATCCTTCATGCGCAGCATGGGGATGGGAAAAGTGAGGGACGGCCAGATTTTCCGCATCCACTGTCTGCCGAACACCATTGAACTGCATCTCAGGAACTCATGCTGCTCTCTGGATTCAGCAACCGTGGTGGGAAATCTAGTGATATCAATCCAGGGGGGGGAGTCAGGAAAGGGAGGAGGGAAGAGGAAAGGTGGAGGGGAGAGAATGGGAATGTGGGTGAACTAAGGGAGGTGATGGGGGACAGGAAGGAAGAAGAATGAAGGTGGCTGAGGCTGAAGTTCAAGCTATTTGGGGAACGTGTAAAGATGGGAGGCTTCTCAGCCACTCCTACATTACTTCTGCCTTGTGTTCCCTAAGATCAAAGGTTGCCCATCCCCATGCCTGCTTCCTTCACCTCCCCACAGGAACAGCCATTTTGCTCACATTCCTAATCCATCAGTTTGGGTTCTGGGATGGACATGGATAGGCTGCTATCCATCCATCCACCTCCTGGGGCTGCAAGGTGAGCAGGAGGTCCCGGGGCTCTTGCCCCATTACCTTCCAAGGGGCTTGGGGCGTCGGGCCGAGGCTTTGGCCGCTTGCTTCCTCAACTTTCTGTGAGGATAAGACAACAGTAGTCAAGATCAGTGTAGAACCAAGTGGAAAAGGCTGGTGCAACTAGGACCAGGAGCAAGATTTCTCTTCTAGTGGTCAGAAGGCTTCCTGGTGGCAGGACATCATAACATCAGACACTCCTGAGACCCGAGTTTTCATAGCTGCTTGGCCTCATCAGCACATGACCCGGTGGGTGAGCAGAAGTGAAGGCCGTGGACTCAGGATGGTGTCTCTATGCCAGCACCCTCAGAAATGAGCTAGAGCAGATGGCAAGAAAGGATTCCTGGGTCCAGATATTAATGTTAAACTTTGGTGGAGGGCTAAGGGGAACATTGTTAGGATTGCCAGACTGACCAGGCTAGGAGGGAGAACTGGCCTGAATCAGGTCTAGGGAGGCTACTGTGTCTTTTTTTTTCTAGATGTTCTCTTTGAGAAAGACTTCCAGCATTGTCCAGGCCTGATACCGCTGGACCAGGACCAAGAACCAAGGCTGAATATCCAAGGGTATTAGGTTGGTTTGACTGGGGAGCACAGGCCATTTAATATTATGAAATTCATACCTAGGGTATTAATAATCTTGTATAGTTCATTGCTTTCTTGATGTTCCTAGTTTTGAAAGTCATCTAAAATGTCATGTCGGTCCAAAAAAAAAAATACAGATAATTATCTCAGCAAAATTTACTCCAGAAACCTAGCGGTCAATCCTGACTTCTCCCTTTCTTGGATTCCAAAGTCAATAACCAAGTCCTGTCAATTTTACTTCCTAAACATCTCTCGAATTCGTTCACTCTTGCTCCTCTCCCGACGATTCTCAGAAATAAGAGTCAAAGGCTGGGCTCAGTCGCTCATGGCCGTAATCCCAGAACTTTGGAAGGCCGAGGTGGGCCGATCACTTGAGGTCAGGAGTTTAAGACAAGCCTGGGCAACATGGAGAAACCCTGTCTCTACTAAAAATACAAAACATTAGCAAATTAGCTGGGCATGGTGGCACGTGGTAGCTACTTGGGAGACTGAGGCAGGAGAATTGCTTGAACCTGGGAGGCAGAGGTTGCAGTGATCCAAGACCGCACCACTACACTCTAGCCTGGGTGACAGAGCAAGGTTCTGTCTCAAAAAGAAATATAGATTCAAAATGATCTTTTCGAGTTACAAACCTGATTATGCCATCTCACAGCCCTCCCCATTAAAACACTTCAATGGCCAGGCACAGTGGCTCATGCCTATAATCCCAGCACTTTTGAGAGGTCAAGGTGGGTGGATCACTTGAGGTCAGGAGTTCAAGACCAGCCTGGCCAACATGGTGAAACCCCTTCTCTACAAAAAATACAAAACCTAGCTGGGTGTGGTGGTGGGTACCTGTGGTTCCAGCCACTTGGGAGGCTGAGGAAGAAGAATCACTTGAACCCGAGGAGGCAGAAGTTGCAGTGCGCAGAGATTGTGCCACTGCACTCCAGCCTGGGCAACAGAGCCAGATTGCCTCTTAAAAAACAAAACAAAACTACAACAAAAAACCAAACCAAACTTAAATGGCTTCCCAATCCTTTTATCATAAGGACCTCGGTCCTTATGACGGCCTATAATCTGCTGCCTAATTACCTCTCGTCATTTATTCACCTTTGTGTTCTCAGCACCTTGCTCAGTGCTTGGCAAACAGGAGTTCAATAAGCATCTGCCAAACTGAAATGAATTAGAAGAGTGACTTCTTAAATAGCACTGAAGCTCCTAGAGCCTCAATTTCAACTGTAAAAGAGCAGGAAATAGTTCAATTATCTGTGCATTCTTTTTTTTTTTAATTTGAAAAAGATGGAACGCTTCACGAATTTGCCCATCCTTGCCCAGGGGCCATGCTAATTCTCTGTATTGTTCCCATTTTAGTATATGTGCCACCAAAGCGAGCACTCTGTACATTGTTTTCTTGTTCTAAAGTCCTACAACTTTTACATGTAGGGTAGAACTACCAAAATAAACTGAAAAATGATTTATAAAGCGGATTTTGATTTTCTCATTTCCTAAATCTTACTGACCTCTAAAAGCCAGCAGATTTTTTTTTCCCCTAAGGAGGGGAGAGTAGTTTACAAAGATCTTGCCTATTTTTTGTAATTGTATCACCTGTGAGAAGGCTCCCTCTGCTGGGCCTGACCTGTCATATTCCCATCACAGAATCTCCCAGGGCTCCCGCAGTTTCTTTCCCCATGAAGAATGGCCTCTGTGCTTTAGTGTATCTCTTTCCCTAGGCTTCCTATCCCAGACTAAGTATGAGATTCCGATATGTCCAACAAATATTCCTGATCTCTAAAAATTATTTTGGCTTTGCATACCTGGGGACAATTCCTGCATCTCAAACTTTCCAAGGATGGCCCATCTCTAAAGCTAGTTCATGTTAACCTGAAGCCCCAAGATGGCTGCTGGTACCATCCTCCCTCAGGGAACATTGGAATCATTTTAGGTGTCTCTTCTCTCATTCTCTGTGTTCTATCAGTCATCCTAAATCTATTCATTTTCCTCCATCTTTGTTGTTACACTCCTGATAAGCTTCAGTTTTAGAAAAATCTCCTAACTGGTCTTACTGCATCGAGACCCGCCTCTCCTCATCCATTACCATCAGGCAAACTTTCAAAACACTGGCTTTATTCTTGTCCCATACAAATACCTTTATTTGTAATTGTTCTATAAGGCAAATGTCAAACTCTCCAATTTGGCACCTAAAGCAGTCCATTTTCTGGCCTCCCTTTATCCAGATCTTCCACTATTTCTCAGTTTAAACCTACTCTTACTAACTTACTATCCTCCAAATATACGCCTTTCATTATTATCTTCGCTGGGGCCAACAGTGACTTCCCTGTTGCTAAATCCAGCATTTGTTTCTCAGTCCTCATGTTTTTAGGTCTGGGAAGCACTGACTCAGCTGGTCACTCTCTCCTCTTTGAAGCACTTTACTTGGCTCCCAGGCCACCAAACTCCCCTGGTTTTCTTCTACCTCACCTCACTGTTTGCATTTAATCTTACCTTCCGGCTTTTAAATATTTACTCTCCCCAAGGTTTAGTCTCTGGCCACTCTCTCTGTGTCTTTTACATTTACATTCACTCCTTGGTGATGTTGTCCAGTTTCAGGGCTTTATATGTTTTACTTGAACTCCAGAGTCCTATATTAAACTGGCTAACTTAGCCTTACCATTTCAATGTCTTAAAGACTCTCAGATTTAACAGGTCTAAAACCAAGTTTCTTCCCTCCACCCCAAGCTAGTCTCCCCACAAAACATGTGCCATCCATTGTCTTCCTTATCAGGTGAGGCCAAAAACCTAGAAAGAGCCTTCATTCCTCTCTCTCACATCACACTGAATCCATCAGCAAATCCTATTGCTCTGCCTTCAACTATTGGCAAAACCTGATCATTTTCACCACTTTCACTGGTCACCATCACCTTTCACTTTCTACGTGGCTTTCAGAAGACAACAACCCCTAACTAGCCACCTGATTTCCTGCCTCTACTGCATCCTTCACAGTCTGTTCCTAATAAAGCAGTGAAAGTAGTACTTAAAAAACCAGGAAGCCCTATGTCGCACCTCTGCTCCAAACCCTCCAGTGATTCCTTATCTCCCACAGAACAAAAGCCAGCCTCTCCCAGATGGCCCACAGCATCTGGCTCCTCATTCTTTTAGGGTCACCACCTACACTGCATCTCCTACTATTTCCTTCTTTTTCACTCTGCTCTAGCCACAGTGGCCTCCAAGAGAAAGGCAAGAATGCCTTCTCCCCTAACCCACTACACATACACACTCTCACACATGTACCCCAGAATAGTTTCATTTTTGATCCCTCTTCCAGGAAATGTTTTATCTAGAGGTCTGCATAGCTTGTGCCCTCACCTCCTTTAAATCTTTTCTCAAATGATGCCTTCTCCAAGAGGCCTTCCTTGACCACTTATTTATTTACTTAATTTATTGTTTGAGACAGGGTCCTGCTCTGCCGCCCAGGGTGCAGTGTAATGGCATGATCATGGCTCTCTGCAGCCTTGACCTCCTGGACTCAAGCAATCCTCCCTCATAGCTGGGACCACAGGCATGCACTACCATGCTCGGCCAATTTTATTTTTAAAAAATTATCTGTAGAGATAGGGTCTCACTATGTTGCCCAGGCTGGTCTTGAATTCCTGGGCTCAAATAATCCTTCCACCTTGGCCTCCCAGAGTGCTGGGATTTCAGGCATGAGCCATGGTTAGCGACTACAATAGTACCTGGACACGGTAAGATCTCAGTAAATAAATATTGGATGAATGAATCTCTATACCTCTGTTCATGCTATCCTCTTCACTGGAAACGTCTATTTAAATTCTATACATCTTTCAGAACCTGGGGTTTAAATCAGGGAAGGTAAGCACAGAGCAGGAAATGCAGCCCCAAGATGGATGAATGAGGCACAGCACATGGTTGTTTTAAACTGGTTTGAGACACCAGACAAGATGAAGTACACTCCTCAGTACTGAAAGACATTTCAGATGAGCCTCAGAGCCAACGCGAAGAAAGTGTGAGCAAGTGTGGAAAAGACTGGAGACGATAATATCCTGACTTTCAAAAGAAAAAAAAGAGAAAAAGGATTCCTCAATTTTTCAATCTACACTTAAGTAATATTCTAGAATAAATTATTAAATAGAAGTTTGTGAGCATTTAGGAAAAAATATGGCAATTCTTAGAGACCTAAAAGGATTTCTGTAAAAACAGGCTCAAACTACTATGGTGTCCTTTTTTGACAGGATTACTAAGTCGGAAGGCTGGAGAATAGCTGCAAACATAGCGTATCTGGATGTTATCAAAGACTGACAAAATCTCCCAGGATTTCATTACAGATAAGAAATATATAGATAGATAAGGTGAAATGTTGGTTACATCATTGAATTGTTCTGTTTCTTCTCAATTGGTGGAAGGAACATATTTTACAGCTGATGATTAGAAGCTTGATGAAAATCTAGAGGCACATTTTGCAAGAAGAGTTAGACTTTGGTTTTAAACATTTCCACAACAACTTTTAATCATTTAAATGAAGCCAGAGGAGGCTGAGGGATGACAGAAAGTCACATCAGGATTCAAGATAATCTCATGGGATCATCAAGACTTTTTTATGGTTTCTAAATTATGTATCAAAACAAATGTAATAGGGTAAATGTCAACCTATACCTGGGTTGGAAAAAGCTGCTCTATCAGTAGGAAGCACAGGGAAGACCTGAACTGGTTTTAGGTGATGACAGGTTCAGTATAAGCAGCGGGAAGCTGCTGCAGTGGGAAGACAGTGCAATCTGAGTAGGCTTCAGTCGGGGTTGAGGATTTCTGCAGTGGTTGTCCCTATCAGAAGCAGTGTGCCTGCAGAAAGCTATTCTGACATCAAGAGGCCTTTCAGCAATACTGATCTAAGGAACCACTGAAGAAAGGGAGAATTTTTGGCTTTGCTAAATAAATTACAGAGAGAGGTTGTAAAAATTCCCAAATAAATGTCTGGCTGTCAATGGCAGTTTCTCAAAAAGAACAAAGTAGATGATCCAGGAAAGGGAGACGCTAAGCACAGACAGTTCCCCAGGGTAACGTTTCCCTTTCCCTGGAAGCTGGAGTAAACCCCAGGGCTCCAGCGCAGGTAAAGAGGCTGGGCCTTGCCAAAGGAGATTCTGGGAAACTTCCAGGACTTCCAGGAGTCCCGAGAGCTCGCACGCTCACAGTTGCTCTCCCGGACAGCCCATCCCTGACCACCACGCGCCGCAGTCTCCGGTCCCTGCGTGCCCAACCGACGCGGGACACACCCAGACGCAGCCTCCTAGGGGCGGGCAGCAACGCTGGAATCGCCCCAGGGCCTGGGAGTGGCCTCGCAAGGCCGCGCTCAGAGTAATCCGCCAGCCCGCCCGGGCGTCGCCCCGGCTCAGCTTTGGAGAGAGCGGGAGTCTCACTGGTCCCCATTTCAAGTACTCCCTTCGGGCACCCTTCGTGGTCCCACAAGATTTCCCAACTCTCCAGCTTTGCAACGCCCTCCATATTTTCCCACGCATCCCAACCTCCGGGTCCCCCCGGTGCCCCGGACTCGCTCAGATGTCTCCCAGGGCCATTCCCCAGGGAGCACCCCAAACCCGGCCTGGTCACCCAGCGCCGGGGCCTCTCACCTGTAGAAGGCCGTGTTGACTCTCTTTTCGCTGGGGAAGCCCAGCATCCCGCAGACCACGTGGCTGTTGTGGGCACTCCAGCCTTTGTCGCACACTTGCGACCAGCCGTCAGGAAGCCTGACTTCCACCAGCCCCTCGGTCACTGGCAGGGGTCGTCTGCCCCACCCAACGGCAGGTCGAATTCGCACCTCCTCCACTTGCAGGTGATGCTCTACCTGGGGATGGGGCCACAAGCGGGAAAGAGTCCCAGCACCTTTCATGTGTCCTGCCACCCTTAAGGAAGCCTGCTTGGTGTGCCTTCTGTAAACCCAGGGGCAGGATGGGCCCAAGGTGGGGCTGAGAGAGAGACCATGCTGGTCGCAGTCCACCGTGTGGACTCTCCTGCAGCCAGCAGGCCGATGATGTGCTAGGCTTCCAGATTCAGAGCACTAGGAAGGAGCACCTCCTGGTGCCTGGAGGAGGAGGGAGCACTTCAGAAAGGAAATGGCTTTGAAGGAGGAGAAAGTCAGAAGGGAGATGTCCCAGGAGAGCAGGAACATTTGAGAAGGAGAGCACCAGGTGCCCCAGGGGTGACTAGGGATGAAGCTACAGAGGCTCATGCCAGGTCTAGCCCCTTGAATGTGAATGCTAAAAACCCTGCTGGATTTTACAGCATCTGGGAGCTCTATCATTTGCTTTTCCAAGCCTCCCACCAATCCAAATGATCCCCCAGGAGTAACCGCCTTCTAATATCTCCCCTAACCACCCCACAGTCCTCTCTGGCCATCCTGGGTGGTGTGTGTGTATGTCTAGGAACTGCAGACCTCAATGACATTGGAGTCCGAGAAGCCAGGGAGGCGCTGGTCCTTGCAGATGACCCCAGCGTCCTCATCGTGGGTACAGTCACTGTTCCCCCAGCCCCGGGAGGCACATTCAGTAACACTCTGCTCAGTCCCACGGCAGCTCAGGTTGTCCAGCCAGATTCGGCCTGTGGAAGGGGAGAGGAGGGGACAGAGAGGCTTGGGGAGGGAGGATGGGGAGGTAATGGGGATGTTGGGAAGAGTGAGTGCTGAGGCCTCCCACTTGGCCATGATGATCCCCTCTTTCTGGTATGATAAGGGATGGAGTAGGGACAGGGGACCCTGGCATGGAATAACAAGGGGGCATAAGATTGATGGAAGATTGGTGTGATCTGGGGATAGTCAAGAACCTGATAGGGTGAAAAAAACAAACAAACAAAAAACAAAAATCAACCCTGAAGTTCTGATCAGTTTCTATCCATTCAATGATAGCTACAATTAATCAGGTACCTACTGTGTGCCAGGTGCTCTGCCATGATGTGGACATATGTGATCGTTCTTAGAATACAGCTGCCAAAACACCCTTTTATGTGAAGGAGCTGGAGTTTAGAGAAGCTAAGTAACAGGCCGGGCGCGGTGGCTCACGCCTGTAATCCCAGCACTTTGGGAGGCTGAGGCGGGTGGCTCATGAGGTCAAGAGATCGAGACCATCCTGGTCAACATGGTGAAACCCCTTCTCTACTAAAATTACAAAAAATTAGCTGGGCATGGTGGCACATGCCTGTAATCCCAGCTACTCAGGAGGCTGAGGCAGGAGAATTGCCTGAACCCAGGAAGCGGAAGTTGCGGTGAGCGGAGATCGCGCCATTGCACTCCAGCCTGGGTAACAAGAGCGAAACTCCGTCTCAAAAAAAAAAAAAAAAGAGAGAAGCTAAGTAACTTGCCTAAGAACACACAGCCAATACACGGGGGCTTAGGAGTTTGACCTATCTGTGAGGCTTGGACATCGAAGATCCTTCCATCTCAACCTTGAATTCTCCTGTGTGCCTGCCCTGTCTGCGCTGTCATATAGCCCCTCCTTGTTCTTCTCTTTTCTCTATCTGAACCCTGTCTTTTCTGTCTTTTTCTTTTTTCTATAATGGGGTCTGCCCAGGCTGAAGTGCAGGCATGATCTCGGCTCACTGCAACATCCATCTCCCAGGTTCAAGCAATTCTCCTGCCTCAGCCTCCCAAGTAGCTGGGATTACTGGCGTGTGCCACCACACCCGGCTAATCTTTGTATTTTTAGTAGAGACGGGATTTCACCATGTTGGCCAGGATGGTCTCGAACTCCTGATCTCAGGTAATCCACCTGACTTGGCCTCCCAAAGTGCTGGGATTATAGGCCTGAGCCACCATGCCCAGCCTGAACCCTGTTGAGTATCGCTGACTTCCTCTTAGAATTGGGCGAAGCCTCAAAGGTCATGTGTCCTAGAATGTTCAAGGACTTCTCATTCACATCCCGAGAGAACTTACCCAGCTGCTGCGGAGTCACCTAGCTCCTGCCCCACCAGACTGTGTAACCATCAAAGTCCTTGTGACTCTTCATGACTTTCCCCCACTACATCTGATTCAGTCCTTTGGTGCCAACCAGAAAAATCCCTCAGCCACACGACAGTCCTTCGAATATTTGAAAACGATTATTACATCATTGCTATGCAAGCCTTTTCCATATCAATCCCCTGGTTCTTCAGCAATTCCTCCTTGAAACTTGGCTTCTGAATCTTTCACATCAAGGCAGCTCTCCTGAATGTATTTCCATTTTCTACTGTCCCTCTTAAAACATAGCATTTACAAATGACACTTAATTTACAGGTGGTCTAGCCAGTGGGAAGTGGGGGGATCAGCTGCAGGTTGCCCCACTTCTGTCCATCAATCCCACTGTGGGTTTATACCGTGGGAGCAGTCCTAGGCCTCACCTAGGAAACTGCTCTTAAGTCCCCACCACCCACACTCATACTTGTCCTAGATTTTATACTTGTCCTTAGACAGTGCCAGCTTGTTAGTTTTAGCTCTGGCCTGTAACCTGATTTTGTTAGCTGCAGTGTCTGTGACGCCTTGTGACTTTGGGCCATCCAGATATCATTTACCTGCTCTTAGCTAGCATACCATGAAACCAACTGTACTTTAGTTGAACAGGGCTCACCTGTACCTGGGCTGTTTTGTGTATGGCTTAGTAGGATCGTACTTTTGCAGCAGAAAAGAACTTAGACATCATCCAGTCATTTTGCCCACAGGGCCTCTGAGGCTCAGAGAAAGCACCGACTAGCCTAAGGTCACACAGCTCTGGGAATTAACTTGTTGCTTGGTTTGTCATCCACAGGTTTATTCAATCTGGCTGTTTTTGGTGTCCTGTGTCCCTGTGGCTGTGCCATCCTGGTGTTCCCTCTCCCTGTACATTGGTCACACTTAATACCTAGGATATGCCTGGATCATTGCTCACCTGTTCCAGGGCCATATTTGGCACTGTGGGTCCAGCCTGTGGCCTCTGTGAAGCCCAGCTCTCGGCAGAGGACATGGGCAGCCTGAAGCGTGAAGTCATCATCGCAGATGGTGCCCCATTCACCAGCTCGCTGTATCTCCACACGGCCCTCGTAGGGCTTCCTGGGGAAGCCAGCCAGCCGGAACCGCAGCCCCTGGCTCTCGGCCCTCTTCTCAGGGTCCGTGGAAGGGGACGGAGACCCCAAGCACAAGCTGCACAGCAGGCACAGCAGCAGCCCCCGGGCGCTCCACTGCCAGACACTGACAGGTCGCATGGCAGGGAAGGCCTGGGTGCCCCAGAGAGAAAGTGTGTGAGGGAAACTGAGATTTAGTGAGGCTCAGAGTTGGAAAGAGAGAGAGAAGTAATGAAGGGAAAACAGACACCCAGTAAGACCAGAGACAGTGAGGGACAGCAGGAGAGAAAGAGAGACCCCAGGGACCAAGAGAGACAGGGAGAGAAACACATTATTAAGGGCAGAGGCACAGGTCAAAGAGACACAGCCTGAGAGACCCAGAGATAAGAGACAGCTATGAGAGGCAGAGAGTCAGAGAAGGGTCAAGGAATAGAGATAGAGACTGACCAAGAGACACGTAGAGAGGAAGACCCAGACAGACAGGATGTGAGAGGAAGGGAGACTGTGGGAATGATAGAGAGAAAAACAGAAAGATGCAGAGGAGAGAGACAATGGGTAGAAGGTGGTAGGGAAAGAACCAAGCACTCAGCATAGGGGAACCAAGCACACTGCGGGTGAGGAGGAGAGGGACTGACAAGAGCCAAGGGGCGGACGTGGGAGGGATCCAGATGACCCCATTTACCCAGACAGAGGACAGACAGCTGTACTGATTGTGCAGAGAGGCACGTAGGGGGCCCTAGGCGGCCTTGGATCCCCTGAATGGGAGCCCAGTGTCCTACCCCAGCAGATTCTCAGGCAGGGAAGGCTGGCACAGAAGCTCCTCTGGAGAACCTGCTGCAACCCTCTCCAGTACACAGGCTCTCAGATGCCCTGAAGGGTCAAGAGGCCCAGGAGGGCCAGGCCTCAAGGCTGGGCGGGGGATGGGGTAGGCTTGTCCAAGCCTTCTGCCAGCGCCACCATCGCTGTCACCGGGCAACCGGAGGCCAGGCGCTATGACTCCTCAGCCAAGGCCTTCTCTCTCTAGGGCTGAGAACAACCCCTCTACAGCAAGCCCCTGCCAATATGCTTCCCCCAACCCAAACAATCAATCCAACAAGGCAGCTTTGTTCTGGGGACATTTTGGCTTGGGGACCCAGGAGAAGGGCCTCCCGGAGGAGCCCCCTGCCTTAGGGCGCTCCTGGCTGCCCCGTTCAAAACACCCAGAGCCCTCGCCTCCAGTAAGTGCCTCCTCTCTGTACTCTGTCTCATTGCCCTTTGACAAGAATCAGACTCTCAGTTGGGTGGCTTCCCCTCGATTCTATCCCACACCACTCGTTTTCTCTGGTCCCTCCACATCCTCTCCATCCCCTATTCCGCTCCCTCCGCGGGTAGCGTGACTCCCCCTACCTTGGCCGAGCAGGACCCTAAGGGCTGGGAGAAGAGTGCTGGTCCTCGAGATCAGTCCTAGGACTTCCCCCAAAAAAATGCTCGGCCAGGGAAGACTGGACCCCCCTCTCTCCCCCCCCTCCGATCGTCCCTCCCACATCTCCCTCAGCCCTCCCACATTCCGCCTTCTCCCTCCATTCTTCCCGGCCAGCTCCCTCCTCGCCTCCTCTGGGTCCTCCCTCCCCGTGGAGCTGGCCACTGCCGCGCCCCCTCCCCCTCCCCGGCCCTCCTGGCCCACTCAAAGAAGCTTTCTCTTCCCTGGCATGGAGGCCAGGCCGCTGCGGTCAGGGAGTCGACTTGCAAGCGGCCGCCGGGCGGCGGGGCGGCCCCCTTGGTGGCGGGAAAAGGTCCAGCCCCAGCCGCCGGCCCCGCTCCGAGTCGCTGCCGGTGGGGTGTAAACAGCCCCGCTCGGGCGGGGCTGGGGGCGGGCCCGGCAGGGGGAACTGAAGCCCCGGAGGCCCTTGTGGGTATCTCGGTGTCCCCGGGTGCCTGCGGGCGCTTTTGGGGTGATGTCACGGCTTTCACTCTGATGTCATGTTGGGCATATGACGTCACGCGCAGCCACCACGCCCAGAGACCGGGGTCTTCCCGCCGAAATCGAGGACTATCTCTCCGTGGAGCCACCGGCGCGCCCCCACGACGGCGGGTAGGGGTTTGGGGTGCTGCACTGCCCGGCTAATCCGGGGACCACCACCCTTCCTTCTAGATGCTCTCCCTCACCCCACCGTGACCCCTCGGCGGCGGCCGGCGTGCTGGGAGGGACGGAAACGCCTCCAGGGAACCCGGCCCCTCCTCCCTCCCCGCCTCCCGCCCCGCCTCCCGCCGCAGGGCCAGGAAGCGCGGAAGGAACTGCCAGGGGCCATGGACGGAGCCGAGATGGAAGGGCCGCTCTTTTTGCAGAGTCAGCGCTTTGGGACCAAGGTAGTCGGGGGCCGCGGATGCCGAACCCCATCCGGGCTAGTAGTGGGTGAGAGAGCCCAGAAACAGGGAGAGGTGGGCAGCGGGCTGGAGCGCGGCGCCAGGAGTTGGAGAGCCTGTGATTTTTCCCGCGAAGTTGCTTTGCACGCTCCCGAGAAGCGTCTGTAGTCTCGGGGTTCTGGTCCTGCAGAGAGGGAGTGGCATCCTCCTTGGGAAACTTCGCCCAGCTTTTGGAAGCCCCAGACCCCAAATCGACCCGCACCGCTCCCTCCTTCCCCGTCGGGACCGGGCCCGCCCGCGCACGCCACTCCCTCTCCAGTCCTCTCGCTCTCTCCCTAGAGGTGGAGGAAGACCTGGGCTGTGCTCTACCCGGCCAGTCCCCACGGTGTGGCGCGGCTCGAGTTCTTTGACCCTAAGGGGTCGAGCTCTGGAGGTGGCCGAGGGAGCTCGCGCCGCCTGGACTGCAAGGTGATCCGTCTGGCTGAGTGTGTGAGTGTGGCCCCCGTCACGGTGGAGACCCCTCCTGAGCCCGGCGCCACTGCCTTCCGCCTGGACACTGCTCAGCGCTCGCACCTGCTGGCGGCCGACGCACCGTCCAGTGCAGCCTGGGTGCAGATGCTGTGCAGAAATGCCTTTCCGGTGAGGGGCTGCGGCGATGCGGGGTGGGGGCAGTTACAGAGGCAGAGAAATGGGGCCGGCTCAGACCGCTCCCACCTCCCCAGCCGCGTTGAGGAAATTACAGGTTTCTTGATGTTCTCTCTGTACTACAGAAAGGCAGCTGGACTACCGATAACCCACCTAAGCTTTCTGCCCTGGAGATGCTGGAGAACTCCTTGTACAGCCCCACCTGGGAAGGTAGATGCTTGAGAAAGCCGGGCAGGGATGGAGTGAGGAGGGAGGAGTGCCTTTGGGAAGTGGGTGGATACCCAGGGACCCATGGGGAAGTAGGAAGGCCCTGAGATCTGGCTTCCAAGTGAGTGCTTGGACCCTGAGGCTTCTGGGTCCCCACTGCTGCCCCCCCCCTCCCCCGTCCCTCCTGCCGCAGCTAATTGTATATGCCTTCCAGGATCCCAATTCTGGGTAACGGTGCAGAGGACTGAGGCCGCCGAGCGCTGTGGCCTGCATGGCTCCTACGTGCTGAGGGTGGAGGCTGAGAGGCTGACTCTCCTGACCGTGGGAACCCAGAATCAGATACTGGAGCCACTCCTGTCCTGGCCTTACACTCTGTTGCGTCGCTATGGCCGGGACAAGGTGCAGTGGCTGTCCCGGAGGGCTTCCTGGGTTGGGCAGCTGTGGGTGGGGCAGGACAGAGGTTGGTAGTTCTGACCTTCGGATTCCCCTTTCTTGCCTACCCGGATACCCCACGTCTGTTCCCAGGTGGTCTCTTCTTTGTAGATACCCTGATTAATGCAGGCCTGTGACTCACTTCCTCTGATGGCTCCCTCTCCACCCTCCTCAGGTCATGTTCTCTTTTGAGGCCGGCCGCCGCTGCCCCTCGGGCCCTGGAACCTTCACCTTCCAGACGGCACAGGGAAATGACATCTTCCAAGCAGTTGAGACTGCCATCCACCGGCAAAAGGCCCAGGGAAAGGCAGGGCAGGGGCACGATGTTCTCAGAGCTGACTCCCATGAAGGGGAGGTGGCAGAGGGGAAGTTGCCTTCCCCACCTGGCCCCCAAGAGCTCCTCGACAGTGCCCCAGCCCTGTATGCTGAGCCCTTAGACTCCCTGCGAATTACTCCACACCCTTCCCAGGACTCCCTATACTCAGACCCCTTGGACAGCACCCCTGCTCGGGCAGGAGAGGGAGTACAACGGAAGAAAGTGCTCTATTGGGACTTGTATGAGCATGCGCAGCAGCAGTTGATGAAGGCCAAGCTGACGGACCCCAAAGAGGATCCCATCTATGATGAACCTGAGGGCCTGGCCCCAGCCCCTCCCCAGGGCCTTTATGATCTGCCTCGGGAGCTCAAGGATGCATGGTGGTGCCAGGCTCGGGTGAAGGAGGAAGGCTATGAGCTCCCCTACAACCCTGCCACTGATGACTATGCTGTGCCACCCTCCCGGAGCACAAAGCCCCTCCCTGCTCCCAAGCCCCAGGGCCTAGCCTTACCTGAACCTGGTACTGCAACTGGCAGTGGCAGCAAAAGCCACAATTCAGCCCTGTACAGCCAGGTCCAGAAGAGCGGAGCCTCAGGGAGCTGGGACTGTGGGCTCTCTAGAGTAGGGACTGACAGGACTGGGGTCAAGTCAGAGGGCTCTACCTGAGAAGGAGGGCAAGGCTGAGGTCGCTGAGGAGGACCATGGGGAGGTGGCACTTGGGTCAAAGAAAATGGTTAGAACCAGCAGAAGCCAGAGGGTGGGAGGAGCCGTGCTGTGTGAGAGCAGGGGACCAGAGGGATGGGGGAAGTCAAGGGAAGGACTATCCCAGGAAGTCCTAAGAAGTGGGACAGATGACAGGCCTGAGGGATGGACTCTACCTCCCCCTAATACCATCCCTTCCCCACTTCCCCAAAGGAAGGGACAGCTGCGGGAGCAGGTCTGTGGAAAGTGGGGCATGGTAAGAGTGGTTGCAGTTTGAGGGCCTGTGTGGAGGTCTCGGAGATGCTGGAATGTGCCTGGATCCTTACCCCTGCATTGTTCTTTGCCAGATATCTATTTCAAAATTTTAAAATTCTCATTAAAGTCAGCTTGGGTTTAAGAATTTTGTGTGTGTGAACAGAAAGCGGGGACACAGTGGTTGGGTTGGGTGTGGTGGGGTTCAAGAGGAGAACCAGGAATGTGTTGAGAGTAATGGAGAGGAAAGAGGCCCAGAAAGGGAACAGGAGTGTGACGACGGTTCAGAGCCTGGGGAGTCAAGTCAGGCTGCCTGAGGCTAGACGAGAGCTCTGTGGCCCTTGGTGAGTTGTGGAACATCTGCAACCCTCAGTTTCCCCTGTGCCCCCTGTAAAATGGGAAAACTATAATGAGCTCTACCTCACAGGGCTTTTTGTATGAAATTAGATACATTATAAGTATTTAGTGTAATCTGAAGCACAGAGTTGGTTTTTGTTTGTTTTAGTTTTTATTTACTATTTATGTAGAGATGGGGGTTTTACTATTTTGTCCAGGCTGGTCTCGAACTCATGGCCTCAAGTGATCATCCTGCCTCAGCCTCTCAAAGTGCTGTGATTGCAGGTGTGAGCCACTGCTCCCAACCCAGAGGAAGTATTTTATAAATGGTAGCTATTCTGTGGATGGAGGGAGCAACAGGAAGGTGGGTACGTGTGGGGAGAGGGTAAAAGGAAAGGAGTAGGTCTTTTCTACACCATCCTCTCCCCTGTTCTGGGCTATATGGCAGCACTCCCACCCCACAACACACACACTTTCCATGTAGGTACCAAGCACTTGTCTGTTTGGAGGCTGAAGGCTGGTGGTGTAGCACGAAGGCCACAGGCTCTGAACTGAGGCTTGGATTTCAATCCTACGTGTCTTTTTGAGGTTTGGAAACCTCCTCCTTGTTCCTGAGTCCCATTTTACTAAAGGTGACCTGACCTCATCCACCTGCTTACACTGAGCTACAAGAAGAAATTCTGGGTTGGGAATTCTAACAATGGTGGAAGCTTATTGGGTGTTTAATCTTCACCTCTGTAAACAGTATCAAATGATTTAAAAGAAAATGAGAGTCCTTGCTGAAGAAGGGACAGGCTCGAGTGTGTTGCTTCTCCACTTGAGGAGTGGGACAGCATGAAACAGAGGTGGGGAAGGCGGCTCTTGTTTCCCAGGCAGCCCTCACTCACAGAGACTCAGGCAGATAGAAAGCAGGTCTGACCACAGATAGCCATTATGTGAACTTGAGCATGGATGTGGTTAGGCTCTGGTGCTGGTGACTTAGGGCCCTGAGGGATCCTCCTCCCATTCCGAGGGCAGAAAGAAGGTGTCTGAGGAAGATTTGCCGGCTGCTGGCATCTTGGAGGCTCTGCCAGGGACAGGAGTCACAGGCAGGGGGGCCACAGTGGCTCGAGCTCGGTTGGTCTGCAGCTGCCCAGTCTGCAAAAAGAGCAACCAGAGCCTTCTCTGAAGATCAGTTTCTGTGTGCCTATCCCATTCTCTGTTGGGCTTTCTGTCCTAACTCTTTTTTAAGTCCCAGCCCTGGAGTAACAGCCTCAAGGCCCAGGACAATGATTTGGAGTCCCTTGAGCCTAGCCTCCACAGTGCCTGTCTCCTTGGCCAGTGTCCTACCTCTGGCAGCTTGCCTAGCAGCTAACTTGTTGTAGCCCCTGGTCCTACCTCTAGTTTGGAAATGTCCTTCTGTAATTTTAGCTAAGACAAAATGAGATTTTTTTTTTTTTTTTTTTGAGACAGAGTCTCGCTCTGTTGCCAGGCGCCAGGCCTGCAGTGGCGCGATCTTGGCTTACTGCAACCTCCATCTCCCGGGTTCAAGCAATTCTCCTGCCTCAGCCTTCCGAGTAGCTGGGACTACAGGTGCACACCACCACGCCCAGCTAATTTTTTGTATTTTTTAGTAGAGACGGGGTTTCACCATGTTGGCCAGGATGGTCTCAATTTCTTGACTCATGATCTGCCCCCCTCGGCCTCCCAAAGTGCTGGGATCACAGGCGTGAGCCACCGAGCCCGGCCAAGAATTTTTTTTTTTTTTTTGAGACAAGATCTTGCTCTGTCACCCAGGCTGGAGTGCAGTGGCACAATCTTGGCTCACTGCAGCCTTGACTTCCTGGGCTCAAGCTATTCCCCGACCTTAGCCTCCCAAGTGGCTGGGACTACAGTGAGCACCAACATTCCTGGCTAATTTTTTTGTAGAGATGAGGTTTTTACCATGTTGCCCAGGCTGGTCTCAAACTTCTGAGCTTAAGCGATCCACCTGCCTCGACCTTGCAAAGTGCTGGGATTATAGGCACAAGCCACCATGCTTGGCCCAAAATCAGAATTTTCCTAAAGGCTGTGTTACTAAGAAGCTGAGAAAAAGTTAATAAGGACAAAAGGAAGCCTAAATATTATATAGAACACAGGTCTCATAAAAATATTTCTCCATCCTCAATTACTCTTCCTTCTTCAACCCCGACTGTCTTCAACCCCAGTCATGGGAGTCCTCTCTTCAAGTTACTAACCTTGGTCAGCCTCCTTTCCTCATCTGTAAATGAGCAAACACTTACCTTGCCGGGATGCTGTGAGGATTAAATGAGAAAAATATATGAGCAAGCACTTATCATAAAACCGGAGTGACTGGTGCTCTGCAAGTATTCATTTCCCTTCCCTTGGGCATTTCTTTTCCCACCTTTCCTTCAGCCTTTTCTTTCAAGAGGGCTGTGGTTGTAGTTCCTGTGTAGCTAGTTTGCTTGATGGGACAATGGTCTGTTAAATGACTAATGAGTTATCGTAAACACTACAATTTAAACATATAAATATTATCATATGTAAATGTCCTGGCACACAGGCCTCCCTACCCAGTAAGGGTTCTTATTTTCCCCCCCACCAGGGGTGGGATCTAGAAGGAGGGCTACTCCCTTGGATGGGGGCGGTGTTGGGATGGGAGAGAAGGGCTTTCGAGGACTCTGGGCATGAAGGGGGAGGGAGGGAGGGGAGCGGTACCTTTCTCAGGGCTCTGCTCTCCCAGTGTGGGTGGAGCCGCCCCTGAGGCTTGGCATAGTTGCTGCTCAGGTGTGAGTACAGGTGGCTCTGAACCTGCAAGGGGTTGTAGGTGGACTCCAGCTCCAGGCTGTCTAGCATGCGCTGAGGAAAAGAGAGGAGGGGCCTTACCCAGGGAACTTGAGGTCACAGAACACAAGATGTCAGGCAGCGATCCAGGAGTGTGAGGGAGTGGAGAAAGTGTGAAACACAAGGGATGCCCTGAAGGCTGTGAAATAGATGCTGTCCCCCTGGGTGTTCTGGCCTGAGGTCCAGTGCTTGTGATCTAAGGGTCAGGCATGGGTAGGAGAAGTAGGAACAACCCTAAGTGGTTAGAAACACTGAAAACTCTGGCCCCAAGACGCATGTCCAGGGGTTCTTAGGGGGCCAGCACACATGAATGCTACAAGGGATCCACTGTGAGCACGGAGGGAGGGTGTGTCAGCGGGCTACCCAGCGGGGCGGGGTGCTCACAGCCTGCAAAGCGAGTACAGGGAGTTCTCAGCCTGGAGGTGAGCTGAGCTGAATGGAAAGGGAGGAGGGGATACAGGAGCCTAACATTCCTGTGCAGTCAGGTTTTCCGGCCACAACATCCTGTGCCAGGAACCACTGGCCCCAAAGTGAGACGCTAAGCGGGCCACGGCCACTCGTGCCCACCTCTCTCTGTGTCTCTGTGGCCGCCAAGCCAAGAGCACAATCCCAGGCCTTGTCCTTGCTGCATTTAAGCCAGCGAGCCAGCAGCAGTGTGGTTCCAGTTCTCCCTGCCCAGAGCCACCCCTCCTACCCTCAGCCTGAGGAGACTAGCAGAGCAAATATAGGGAATCCAGATCCCAGGAAGAGGAAGAGGAGGAGGAAGAGAAAATGGCCTTCAGAGTTGTTTGCTCCTCTGCATCTGCATCTGTCTCATTTTGAAGCCCTTCCTATTTTGGGCACCTACATTGGCTACCTTTCCTCCTTTTCTCACTAAACATAAATGAGTGCAAACACAGGTATTCACACATGCACACGTGCAATGCAGAGTCAGACCCCTAAGAACACACCAGCACAGGTGCATCTACATGTACTGCCATCAATTTAGAGACTCAAGCACAGACTCACTTGGGCACAAAAATAAACATACAAAGACACAAAAACCCAAACAGAGGTTGATTTTTTGGGTCTCCTTTTACTCCCTTTCTCCCTTGCTTTTTCTTCTGCCTTCCATGGTGTCTTCTCCTTTCCTTTCCCTCCCAATGTTCTGCTTTCCCTTGTCTAACTTCACAGTCTCCTCTCTGAGGAGGAGGTGGGGGCAGGAGAACCAGCTGGTGCAAAAACTGAACCAAACAAGTGTCTGGTGCCTCCCCAGGAGCTGGAGCTGCTGGTGCTGTGTCTTCCTCTCCTGCCTCCCTGTGCCCTGGCCTGCCATCAGGTTTCTACTCTCTGCTGCTCCCTTTTTTCCTTCATAGACACCCTGTCCTCAGGTTTCAGGTCCGTGTGCATGTTGTGTGTCCTCTAGGATGGCTCTAATTCCCAGTCATCACTGATGCCAGCGTCCCTTTTCTCTCCCAGTTTTTTCTTCTCAAGCTTCATTTCTCTCAACCCAGCCTCTGTTCTATTTCACTCCTTACCCTGCTGCCATACAGGTGTTTCCTCCCTTCTTCTGGCATCATGGCATCATTGCCTACCCTTACTTTCTCTTCTTGCTCTCTTACCATGCCTCAGCTCCCCATCCATCCCCTCATGGGCTCACTCCTTTCCCTCATTCCTTTCTCAAACTCCATTCGCTTCTAGATCTGTCTCATGAGATCTGGGCTCCACTTGCCTCCACAATCTTAAGGCTGTCATCACATGGGTCCTCAGCAAGCAGGGGGAAGGTGCTGGGCAGCATCAGTTCCCGCGTGGCCACCGCCTTCACGAGCAGTGTGAGGGAGCGTGATGGCATGATCACATAGAAGGTGCTGGCAGGGATTCTCTGGCTGTGTCTTGGGCCCAGTGGTTCCCCCTTGGCTAACAGCAGCCATTCTCTTTTCTGAAACAAGGACATACAGAAATACTGGTTCACTTTTAGTCTATGGCATGTTTTGAGGATCAGTCCCATTTGATGTTTTCCTGACTTTCAGGGGTGCTTATGAGGGCAAAGCCTTGTAACTTTGGCCCTGGTAGGGAGGGACTTGCTGTCATTGATGCCACAAGGTACTACTCTTCCTCCCTGGTCTGGGATATGCCAGCAAAAGTACATGAAAGGGTTAACAATAGACAGAAAAGTTATGAAATGCCTTGTAACTGGAAGTAGGTGTTCATCCCACAGAGGGCTACCACATTCAATGGTACATGTGAACTTTTAAGAATTATAATTCTTGGCCAGGTGTGGTGGCTCATGCCTGTAATCCCAGTACTTTGGGAGGCTGGAGCAGGCAGATCATTAGGTCAAGAGATTAAGACCATCCTGGTCAACATGAAGAAATCCTGTCCTTACTAAAAACACAAAAGTTAGCTGGGCGTGGTGGTGTGTGCCTGTAGTCCCAGCTACTCAGGAGGCTGAGGCAGGAGAATCACTTGAACCCAGGAGGTGGAAATTACAGTGAGCTGAGATCATGCCACTCCACTCTAACCTGATGACAGAGTGTGACTCCATCTAAAAAAAAAATTGTAATTCTTAAAAACAGTGTCTTGAAGCCTGTGGTCCTAGCTACTTAGGCTGAGATAGGAGGATCCCTTGAGCCTAGATTAGGGCTGCAGGGAGCCATGATTGTACCACTACATTCCAGCCTGGATGACCGAGTGAGACCCTGTCTAAAAAAAAAAGGAGTGTCTTGAAACCAAGACTTGTATGGGGTGTTGTCTGTTGTAGAAATTTAGTTTTTCTTTTGAGGTTAATAAAGTCTGGTTGTGTTGCTGATAACTGGGATTAGAATGGGCTGACTCTGGAATATCCCTGGAATGCCCAGAGAGGGTACAAGGTAGTAAGGCCAGATGTGGTGGCTCACATCTGTAATCCCAGCACTTTGGGAGGCCAAGGCAGGAAGACTACTTGAGCCAGAGTCAAGATCAGTCTGTGCAACATACCAAGACTAGAAAAAATTAAATACATAAACATAGATAAATGATTGATAGATAGATAGAGAGAAGGTGGTGGAAGCAGCCTGCAAAATGAGAGGAGAAAGAGAGCAGAGACAGGAAAGCTGTGCTACAACAAGGAGGTGGGTGGGTGCTGGGCCCTCGAGATGATCTCAGCCAATCACAGGGCAAGAAGAGTTAGGAATCTGGGGGCACTTCCTCTGTGGATGATGGGTATTATGGAACAGAGGGTGGCACTTTGCCATGTGCCATGGAGATGGCAGAGGTTAGGGCATGGGTAAGAAGAGACAAGCAGATTTCTGAGAAGATTTTATAGGTGTACCCTTTTAAATGAGCCATGAAAATGAGGCAATTTTTTTGTGGTAGTTTTTCAACAAAACCCACAAACTCCAGGAAATGTGGAGTTAGAACTCTTACAATCAGCTCAAATGGTGTCGTCCTACTGGGACACAGACCTTCAGTTACATCTGGTACAAACCATAACAACCTCCCTGCTACATAAGATGGAAGAAAACACATGAGTTCTGGCTACTCTTAAATGAAAAGTAGAGACAAATAATAAAAGAGGAAAGGCAAAAAGGGGAAACATATTTTTAGAGGAAAGAGGAATATCAGTGTCTTGTGGAAGACAAATAGAAAGTGTCACAGTGAGACAGAAAACACTTGCTGTAGCATTAGAGTTAGACCCCAGGGGGCACGTGCTGGGGTGGGTGTGGGGAGGCTCTGTACTTTAAAGCAGTGTCATCATTCTGTGCAATATGGATCTCTGAGGAGGTCTAGTAGGCACAGCATGTGGTAGGAAACCTGTTAACGTCTCCAAGAAAAACAGGTATGTACCATTCCTGTGGTTGCTGACCTCTTTGTGGGGTAGGACTTGACTGATAATTCTGGAGGCATGATGCATACATGCATACTCACTAGAAGGTTTTCGGGGTGGGACAGATGATTTGGGCATGGGAAAATTAGTCATAATCATAATTACAAACTTTAATGGAATGCTCATCAGGCACCAAATACTGTGCTAAGAGCTTAATGGATGCCTTCAGAAGTTCATGCTTTCTTAGTGCTTTGCTTATATCTAGAGATGTGCTGTCTTTCTGAAGAACAAATCCAAATGTGCAGGAAAGTCAGCTTGATGGTTACAATCCATCACGTTGGAAATAAATGATATAGAAATCATGGTGTATGTGTATGTGGGTGGGGGACCTGCCCTGCTCTGAGGACATGGCTTATGTAAGCCTGGAAGGGATAGTAACCAGGAAGTTTCAGGGGACTCCATTTCAGTTGACGTAGTAACTTCTGATGGGGCTCAGGGTTTGGATTATTACTATTATTTTAAATCTTCTATTGTTACATTGGTTCATGCATTTGCTTGTGAATTTGTCTATTAAAAATTTATTGAGGCCGGGCACGATGGCTCACGCCTGTAATCCCAGCACTTTCAGGGTCCGAGGTGGGCAGATCAACTGAGGTCAGGACTTCGAGACCAGCCTGGCCAACATGGCGAAACCCTGTCTCTACTAAAAATACAAAAAAATTAGCCAGGCATGGTGGTGTGTGCCTGTAATCTCAGCTATTCGAGAGGCTGAGGCAAGAGAATCACTTGAGCCCGGGAGGCAGAGGTTGCAGTGAGCCGAGATGGCGTCACTGCACTCCAGCTTGGGTGACAGAGTGGGACTCCATCTCAAAAAAAAAAAAAAGTATTCACTGAGTCCCTATTATGTTCCAAGCACTAGGTGTGGGTACAAAGAACAATGACATTAGGAGAAAAGGAAACTATAGATCGATATCTGTTATTAATATAGATACAAAAATCCTAACAAGATATTAGCAAATCAAATTCAGCAACATATAAAATGAATTATATACTATGGCAAAGTGGGATTTATCCTGGGACTATAAGGCTGGTTTAATACCCCCAAATCAACCAATGTAATATACTGTGTTAAGAGAATAAAGAACAAAAACTACATAATCATCTCAATAGATGCAGAAAAAACATCTGGCAAAATCCAACACCCTTACATAATAAAAATGCTCAGTAAACTAGGAGTAGACTGGGACTTCCTCAACCTGATAAAAACCTCTATTAAAAATCTACAGCTAACCTCATATGTAGTGGTGAAAGAGTGGATACTCTGACCCTAACATCAGAAACAAGACAGAGATATCTGCTCTTGCCGCTTCTATTCGGTATTGTCCTGGGAGGTGTGTTGAAGACTAGAAGGCAACTTCCCACATTTTCTGTACTGTTAGGCTCCTTGGATTCTGGGTATGATCCTGGGGGAGAGGCATCCATAAAGATATTAAGAGTGTTAACATCCTGGCCCTTGGGAACCAATGTTTTCTAAATTTGATTTAGAAAAATATAGTAATGTGACATTTCTCACATCAGAGAGCTATAGTGCAAAAGGTGTAGATATATGTGGAAACAAGTACGTGGGTGTGGAAAGGCAAGAAAGATGAATGGAGACAGGCTGTGGTGGAGGCAAGAAAGGCTTCATAGTGAAATTATTTAAGCAGAATCTGGAAAAAAGTGACTAGATATTTGTCAGGTGGACAGAGGCAAGAGGAAGGGAACAGCAAGAAAAAGGTGTGGAGGTGTGAAACAGTTTAGCATACTTGGAGAACATTCAGTCATTTATTAGTGTGGCTGGGGTGGAGGATGGGAGGGGCACAGGTGAAAGACGAAGCAAGAGAAGAAAGAGAAGCAAGAAGAAAGAAAGCTGAGTCACAGGAAGCCCACTGACCCGTGCTAGGCTGCTGTTCTAGCACCTGTCCATCCCCCAACCCGTCCAGATGCTACATTCTAACCTCATTCTATTCTCTAATGGCTCTTGACCTGCCATCACCCCACTCTCAGCTTGGATTCTTGATCTTGATTTTTTGCCTGTTTGACCAAGGACTTTCCATTTCCCCACCCAGTTATAACCCAACTGGCTCATTGCCTGTGTACTTAGACTCCTGCTGAACACATCATGGCTTGAATCCTATAACTTCTGTGGCCAATTAGGGCAGACATGGCCTGTAAAGCTTTGGAATGTGTCTCCAGAGACTCTGACATTTTAAGTAGGAAACTGAAAGACCTAGGTGGTATTTTCATTTCTTTTTCTAGTTCACACAGACATGACTTTGTAATAGAAATGAGGATGTGGAAAGTGAGTCACTAGCTACATAACTGGGACTACACAGCAAGATTTGGTAATTTAAATGATATTTTCCTGGCCATGGATAGATTCATCTCATAAAAACTTTGAACAATTCATTTTATTTATATATTTATTTCCTACCACATTCCACAAAACAGCTATAGCCAGTTTAGAAAAATGGAACAGTAGGCCGGGTGCGGTGGCTAACGCCTGTAATCCCAGCACTTTGGGAGGCTGAGGCAGGTGGATCACAAAGTCAAGAGATCAAGACCATCCTGGTCAACATGGTGAAACACCGTCTCTATTAAAAAATACAAAAAATTAGCTGGGCATGGTGGCGCGTGCCTGTAGTCCCAGCTACTCAGGAGGCTGAGGCAGGAGAATTGCCTGAACCCAGGAGGCGGAGGTTGCGGTGAGCCTAGATCGCACCATTGCACTCCAGCCTGGGTACCAAGAGTGAAACTCCATCTCAAAAAAAAGAAAAAAAAGAAAAGAAAAGAAAAATGGAACAGTATAGAAAGATAAAATAAGTAATTAAGGGGACTGGGCAAAAGAAAAATAAAAGTAGGGCAATACCACAGTCAGGGTTAGATAAGTTTACAGAAATATAAACCCCCCACTTTTGCTAGAAGGGAGCTCCACAGCTTTTCCTGATATAAAATGTGGGTGAAGCTGTCTGTGGCTTCTTATTGAGTAGTGAATATGTTTCAGAGAATTCCTGCAATCAATATGCTGATAAATTCCATGTAGCTGTAGAGTGATTTAGAGTTTGGGACCTGAAGCCAGCCTTTCAATCCCAGCTCTACCAATTACTCTCTGGGCCTCAGTTTCCTCACCTGTAAAACAGGGATAATAATTCTTACTTCATAGAATAATTATGGGGATAAAATAAGTTAATAGCTGTTGAAGTGCTTAGAACTGTGTCAGGTACATGTTAAGCACCATGAAGTGTTAACTTTTTAAAATTAAAAATACATTTAATTATTAATGTTTATTCAACTTTGTTAAATTAAAAATAACTTGAATAATTCTTAGATATAGATCTATAAAAGCTCTAAAGAATGCTGCCAAAACACATAGCTCTCTTGTGGTCTATATTAATCTAAGAGTGATATTTATGGGAGTGGTAGACAACATATATATTTCAGGAAAGACTGGGAAAAGTCTTGCCTATCTGATGAAGTGATCATTTTCTGAGGAAAAGCAAGTGAAATACCTGAATAAAGCAAAATAATCTGTGAGGAAGACAGAAACAATTTTCAAGTGAAAAACCTGGGAATGAAATAACAAGGCTGTGATTGACTAAGCCTTAGAGTATGTGTAAAATGTAATTTGAAAAGTTACACAAAATTTATAGTCAACGAGGACTGGTAGGTTGGCACTAATCACTACAGCTTAATTACGGCAGTGTGGACTCTGTTCAGAAAAACGGCTCCAAATAGAAGGACAAATGAAGAGGCAGTGTTGAATACACTGAGCTATACCCACACTTGTAGGAAATCCAGGAGCCTGAAAATGAAAACATGGTGAAGCCGGCCAACTGGCTGAGGGGAACTTAGAAGATGTGCTGTACGTCTGAAGAGAGAGCAGAGGGGGAATAAATGAGCATTTAATAAACATCTACTTCTGCATCTAAGTGGGTTGGAGTGGCCAGAGGCAGACTGGTTCTCCTGCCTAGAACACCCAGAAAAGCTGAATAATGTACACAAATCATTTGTTGGAAGGCAGTAAGGAGTTACTGAGGCAATGAGATCTAGAGGTAGCTAAGTCTCTAGAGAGGGAAGAACCCAGAGAGATGAGGGAATTATGATTATTATTTTTTCCCCACCCCTGCCACCGAGATGAGGGAATTATTGCAGGTGCTTATACCCTGGGAGTATATGTTCATTCTGGGACAGAGGGCGTGGTGGTGGTGGTGATCGGAAAAGCTGAGAATCTAAGACTTCCACCTGCGGAGGCAAGTATAGAAGAACAGAGAAACTAGCAGATCTTTTGGTGGAGACTTGGTGGTGGGAAGGGATGGCAATCAAGCCAATTATACTCCAAACGCATTTGCCAAATACTAGAGCTGCATGGGTCAAAAGGCAAAAACACTTAAGGAGAAAGCCTCCAAAAAGTAGAATGTTTTAGCAGATCTGGAAGCCAGTGATTAGAGGTGGGGCCTTCCAAGGGGAGGGGTTACACATAATATACCAGGCTTTCAGTGGAAAACTCTGGAGGGCCAGGAACAAACCCTGGATAGATTGAGCATTAGCAGGACTGCAGCCCAGCCTTGACTCAGCGCAGTTTCTAGTGAAACAGGATTTTCAGCCACCACTCTTATCTGCCTAGTGCTGGAAGGGTGAGCCCTCTCTAGGGAAAGCTAACACCAAGTGGAGCCTTTAAAATTTATTTATACATGATGTGTATCTTTTACTAAAATATTACCAGGTGTGACAAAAGACATGTGCCATATGTCTGAAAACCAAGAGAAAAAAGAGACAATAGAAACAAATCCATAAGTGATCCAGTTATCGGGGTTAGCTGACAAGAACCATAAAATAACCATGATTAGTAGATTTAAGAAATTAGGTGAAAATATGAAGAATTTTTCTAGGGAATTAAAATCTACAAAAAGAGAAACAAATGGAAACTGTAGAACTACTAACCAACCACTGTGTGCAAGTCATGTGCTAGACATGTGCTGGGTGCTTTACACATGCAATATTTAAGCATCTTAAAAAACATAAGAGGTATATTTTATTGTCTATATTTTACATTTGATGGGACAAGAGTTACTAACATGTATGTCATGTACCTTTTCCCTTCTTTCCTTCTCTCTCACTCTGCTTTCTTTGTTTTTTTTGAGATGGAGTCTTACTTTGTCACCCAGGCTGGAGTGCAGTGGTACGATCTTGGTTCACTGCAACTTCTGCCTCCTGGGTTTAAGTGATTCTCGTGTCTCAGCTCCTGAGTAGCTGAGACTACAGGCATGCAACACCACTCCCAGCTAATTTTTGTATTTTTAATAGAGACAAAGTTCTGCCATGTTGGCCAGGCTGGTCTTGAACTCCTGACCTTGGTTGATCTGCCTGCCTCTGCCTCCTGAAGTACTGGGATTACAGGCATGAGCCACTGCACCCAGCCCTCCCTCATTCTATTTGTACTGATGAAAGGAGAAGCCTTATCAGCTTTATTTCTTAGTATTTTAAATAGGCAGAAAGAGACAGGACCTTAGAGAGAGGAGGACTACATTATATTAGAGAAGCTACGTCAATTTATAATATATGGCTGAGAGAGGGAGGAAGAGGATTGAGAGAGGAAAGGGGACTGAGCGGGGAGGGGGAGAGAGAGAGAGAGAGAGAGTGAAAGGTTCTATGAACAGCTTCAGGTTAGAGATAATTCAGGAGGGGGGGAAGAAAATTTGAGAAATATATGTCATTGTGGGTTATGAACTAGATTCTCTTTGGTGTCCTTTGAATGCACAAATCACTTTAAAATTTAGTTTTGGGCCTCTGATAGTACTCCATATGTGCCATTTGTGCAGAGACTAAGCCACATAGGGGCCACTAAATTTGTTAGGGTTACAAATAGATGAATATACCAATGACTAGTGAGGTTAAGCATGTTGCCTAAGTTCACGTAGCTGGGAAATAAAAAAAGCTGTCTGAAACCTAAGGGCATCTGATTCTACAGTCCAGGATTTTCCTGGACAATACAAATTATATTTTACCACAATATATTAGAAAACTGCCTTGCATTGACTCCTCCAAAAAGAGAAGTAAGAAAGGGGGAATTTCTACTCTGGACCTAAATTTGATCAAAGCCTAGGAACTGGTTAGTAAAGTGGCAAAGTGGTAGAAAAGACACTATGTCAGTCTGGAGATTGAGTAGTCAAATTATTTCTTAGACTTCAACTTAAAACATAGGATCATATATTTAAAAACCTACTTGAAATATGCTTTTCTCCAGAAACAGCATACAAAAGTCTAATGACAGGTGAAGGAAATTGGAGAGTTCTCATTCAAGAAGTACCATTTCAGCTTGGTCTTTCAGGATAGGGTAGTATTTGAACACACAGAGATGAGAGAAAAGTCAACATGAGCAAAGTCTCAAAGGTGAAAAAATTCAAGGTATGTATATTAATTTGGTTGGAGTGTATGGTACATGAAGGGGAATAATGGGAGATAAGATGGCACCTTGAATATTAGGCTAAGGAATATGGACTTTATGGATAAACGATAGTAAGCCAGAAAGTATTTTTAAGTTGAATAGTGGCAGAATCAGTGCTGTATTTCCAGAAGATTAATCAGTTGGCAGTAGGTGAAATGGACTAGGAAGGGGAAGCACTAAAAGCATTGAGACAAGTTGAAAGATTATTGCAGTATTAAAGGAAAAGTTAAAAGGTCTTGAACTGGGCCGGGTGCGGTGGCTCACGCCCGTAATCCCAGCACTTTGGGAGGCCGAGGCGGGTGGATCAGGAGGTCAAGAGATCGAGACCATCCTGGTCAACATGGTGAAACCCCATCTCTACTAAAAATACAAAAAAATTAGCTGGGCATGGTGGCACGTGCCTGTAATCCCAGCTACTCGGGAGGCTGAGGCAGGAGACTTGCCTGAACCCAGGAGGCGGAGGTTGCGGTGAGCTGAGATCGCGCCATTGCACTCCAGCCTGGGTAACGAGAGCGAAACTAGGATAGTGATAACAGGTGCAATAGGGATTAAACAGGCAAGGCTTAATTCCCTATTGAGTACTGATACATAGAACAACATGTGATAGGGAAATGCTTCAAAGAGATTAAGCTGGTCCCAATGTGCAGGGAAAACCAAAAGAGGGAGAGCTTGGAGGCAGGGAAGCTAGTTAGGAGTTTACTGAAGAAGTCTTGGTGAGACAAGCAGTGGGAACAGGAAGTAAAGAAGAGTTACTGCTCATGTTATAAGTGGAAATTGATGTGATTAGTGATGAAGTAGGTGTGAAGGGTGAGACGGCTGAAAGTGACTGAGGTTTCAAGCCTGGGTGACTAGACAATGGCGGTGCTGCTATTAACAGAAAGGCAGAAGTTAGAATGAGAAGTTGGCTGGAGGGGAACATCACAATGTGAAACAGAAGGCAAGAGAGTTAAATAGGGAACTGATTTGAAATCAGATTTTTAAAGAACATATGAAAAAGGTATATTAAAGAATAGAAAACCGAAGAAGGAGTTAAAGCAGCATGTCAAACTTGTAAAAATAGGTTTAGGAAGGTTGAAACCTAAATAAGTCCTGTCACACTTAAAAATATTTGTTGTTGAATGGATAAGCTGAAGTTTGTGAAAAGTTTTTCCTCTGTAACATTATGCCATTCAGGATTTTTGCTGCCTTGGAGAAAATGTCATGTGAAAAGTAAGAAGGAACTGGGTTCACGCCTGTAATTCCAACACTTTGGGAGGCCGAGGCGGGCGGATCACGAGGTCAAGAGATCAAGATCGTCCTGGCCAACATGGTGAAACCCTGTCTCTACTAAAATATAAAAATTAGCTGGGCGTGGTGATGTGCGTCTGTAATCCCAGCTACTTGGGAGGCTGAGGCAGGAGAATTGCTTGAACCCGGGAGGCAGAGGTTGCAGTGAGCTGAGATCACGCCACTGCTCTCTAGCCTGGTGCCTGGCGACAACAGAGCGAGACTCTGTCTCAAAAAAAAAAAAAAAAAGAGAGCAGGACACGGTGGCTCACGCCTGTAATCCTAGCACTTTGGGAGGCTGAGGTAGGTGGATCACCTGAGGTCAGGAGTTCAAGACCAGCCTGGCTGTCATGGTGAAACCCCATCTTATAAAATTAAAAAAAAAAAAAAAAAAAAGAAAAGTGAGAAGGAAGAGGTATTTATACATTGTTTTGCTTCTTTCTTTTCCAGAATAGGAAAGTGGTCTTTAGGCTAGAAGAGGTGGACCAAACACAGTAAAGAAAACAGCTCAAGACGGGTAAGCAGCTATTATGAGTACTGTGCCACTTTAAGTGAGTTCAAGTCTGCTGAAGTACAGAAGCATGGGGTGTAAGTGAAGAGAGAATCGGCTTCAGCGTTATAGTCTGTATTTATCTGGCTATATCCAGAGTAGGGAATTTAACAAAGAATTTAAAAACATGGGCTTTGTAGTCAACAGAACTAGGTTCAAATTCTTGTTTTATTTTCTTTCTTTCTCCACTCCCCCCTGCCACACCCAGATAGGGGCTCCCTCTGTCACCCAGGCTGGAGTGCAGTGGCACTATCATGGCTCACTGCAGCCTTGAACTCTTGGGCTCAAGTGATCCTTCCACATCAGACTCCTGAGTAGCTGGGACTACAGGCATGAGTCACTGCTACTAGCTTATTTCTTAATTTTTAATAGAGACAGGGTCTTGCTCTGTCGCCCAGGCTAGTCTTGAATTCCTAGGTTCAAGTAATTCTTGTGCCTTGGCCTCCTAAAACGTTGGGACTACAGATGTGAGGACCTAGTCAGGTCCTCAAATTCTGACTAGGCTACTTTGGGAGCTGTGTGATCTTTGGTAACTCACTTGGTCTTCTTAGGCCTCAGCTTCCTCTATCTGCAAAAGTTGGAAATAACAATCCCTACTTCACAGGGCATCGTGAGGATTAAATGAGGTAAAGTATGCAAAACACTTGGTTAAGTGACTACCGCTTAGTAAATGCTCCAAAATATGGGTATCTATTAGTGACAGGTCAACTACATCCCTATGCTTTTCCATGAGAGAAAACTAATAAAGAAGAGGTTTCTTCATGCCTACAACAGTGCTTGGCACACAATGGTCAGTAAATACTTGATAAATAAATAGATAAATACAGATCCTCAAACCCTGAGTTTAGTGGCAGGGATACTCTAATCTTGGTTATGTAAGCCAGGATGGAAGGGAATACTTTTTACTATCTTTATTATTATTATTTTTTGAGACAGGGTCCTGCTTTGTTGCCCAGGCTGGAATGCAGTGGTGCAATATTGGTTCACTGTAACCTCTGCCTCCCGGGTTCAAGTGAGTCTCATGTCTCAGCCTTGCAAGTAGCTAGGATTACAGGCACACGGCACTATGCCTGGCTAATTTTTGTATTTTTGGTAGTGTTGGGATTTTACCATGTTGGCCAGGCTGGTCTTGAACTCCTGGCCTCAAGTGATCTGCCTGCCTCGGCCTCCCAAAGTGCTGGGATTACATGTGTGAGCCACCACACCACACCAGGTTATAGTTCCTATAACTCTTCCCTGCTTACGACATTTGGGTTGTTTCCAATTTGTCACTATTGTAAATAACACTGCGATGAACATGCTGGTACATATGTCTTAGCTCCCTTTCCTGACTGTTTTCTTGGGCTACATTCCCAGCAAAAGTTAAGGACATCATTTTTTCCAGAAAATTTCCAACCTCTCTAGCAGTGTATTAAAATGTCAGTGTATGTTTAAAATATCAAATACTATAAGAATGTATTGAAGCCACCTGGGAGAAATTCCTCCCCATTGATGTATCATCTCAGATTCTGAGGAACTGGGTTGAGCAAATAGTAAACTGAGCTGTTGGGAACTAACAGTTACAACCGTCTGTCATCTCTGCTCTGCAAAGACAGGAGATGGGTGTTCTTCAGACAGGAAACAGGAACTCAGTGGGTGGACCTAAAAGGGAGTGTGGGCTTTGAAACAGGAAAAAAAATGCTTCTGATAGTGAAAGAGACTCATTGCTGGCTGTCCTGATCATCCTACTCGGTCAAACCTTTATTCCATATCTGTCCTTGCATTCTATTTGCAGTTGTTTTAATTTTGCTTTCTAAGTGTTGTGTTAGTTTCATGTGACTGCTGTTATTTTTTCTATTTCAGGGAATGATATCCATCTAGTTGTTCGAGTCAGAAACCAGGCAGTTATTTGATACTTCCTCTTTCTTACTCCCTGTATCCAATCTCTTAACCAAGTTTTGACAATTCTGTCTCCAGAATATTTCTACACTTGGTCATAGCCAAAAGACCAAGAAGCAATTCTAAAGTATTTCTCTAATTGGTTTGCTCATCTCATCTTGGCTTGCATTGTTCTAGTCCAAGCCACCATTGTCTCTTGCCTAGGCTACTGCAGTGCCCTCCTATCTCATTTTCATGTTTCCATTTTTGCTTCTGCAAGTTCATTTTAAAAACTTAAATAGCGCCAGGCGCGGTGGCTCACACCTGTAATCCTAGCACTTTGGGAGACCAAGGCGGGTGGATCACGAGGTCAAGAGATCGAGACCATCCTGGTCAACATGGTGAAATCCCCATCTCTATTAAAAATACAAAAAATTAGCTGGGCATGGTGGCTCGTGCCTGTAATCCCAGTTACTCAGGAGGCTGAGGCAGGAGAATTGCCTGAACCCAGGAGGCAGAGGTTTCGGTGAGCCGAGATCGCGCCATTGCACTCCAGCCTGGGTAACAAGAGCGAAACTCCATCTCAAAAAAAAAAAAAAAATAACTAAATAAATAAAAATAAAAACTTAAATAGAAGATATTTCTTGTGATTTGTTTCCATAAGTCCAAAGTCCTTAATTTGGCCTACAAAGCTTTGTACGATTTGACCCCTGCTCACTTCTCCAACCCTACCTTTGTCACTCTCTCCCTTCCTCCCATTTTCAGTCACAATGACTTTTCTGTTCTTGATTTTTCTCTCAGCTCTTTCCAGCCTTAGGGTCTTTGCACATACCTTTTGCTGCACCTGGAATGCTCCTCCTGCCACCTTTCGCCTAGTTAATTCTCACTTATCTTGTAGGTCTTAGTCACTTCTATCGACAGGCTTTCTTATAGCAGCCTCTTCTTTTCCTTTATAAACTTCCCATAATTAAGAATATATATATATTTCTGTTTCTTCCATCAGAGGGTGGGTTTCTTGAGGTCATAGTAATGTCTTTTAGGTCACTACAGAATACATATCTAGGGTTTGACACAATGTCTGGCACAGACTAAGTGCTCTTCATTTAAATGAACCATAATGTCTATTACAGTGTTAGGAAGGAAGTAGGTTTTAAAATACAGGTACTTATTGAAAATTCCCTGTTGCCATTTAAATGTTAAGCTTACAAATCGGGGATTTTCAAGTTTAGTATTGTATAACTCAATTCGGGAATTATTCTCTATAGCATGAAACCAACAAAAGGCAAGTCATATTTACTCTTAATTTCAGGGTATTTCCAGTTTTTTTCTGTCTTCTTGAGGGTTGAGGCAGGTTTAGGATTAGGCAGAGTTGTTAGCTGCTTTTCTGTGGTTGGTACTTTAAAATAATTATTCTTTTTCACCTGGGGACATGGGTACTCACCAGCAGGCTGTGACACAAAGCATGGAAATGTTGCTGATTTGTCTCCAGCTCATCCCAGTCCAGTTGCCAACAGCTTGTAGGTCTGAGGATGAATGGGAGTCCATAAGTCAATGACTCGCAGAGCCCGCTAGATTTTAAAGCCCTAAGAAGAGATAATTACAGTGAAAGACTCCTTAGTGATATCTAGAACCTCTACTTAGATCCATTTCAATTCAGCTTTACTCCAAGATGCTACTGTGAAAGCTTTTAGATTAGGGTCTGTGAACTATACATCTTTTTATGGCCAGCATCAGGCATAGTATCTAACACACAGAGGATTGTCAAAGTTCGGGAACCTGTGCATGTGCATACTGGTAGGAACTGAGAAGAATTGAAGTGGTCTCTGCCATCATTGCTAATTCATTGCTGTTCTTTTTCTTCTTCTTTTTTTTAAAAATTAGACAAAGGCTTGCTCTGTTACCCAGGCTGGAGTGCAGTGGTCCAATTATAGCTCACTTCAGCCTTGAACTCCTGGGCTCAAGCAGTCCTCCTGCCTTAGCTTCCCAGACTGCTGGGATTATAGGCATGGCCAGGCCTGCTAATTCTATCCTACAATTGGTTCCCCTCGAAGAAGGAATTCTAGTACTTAGATCAATGGGAGATGAATTCTAGTACTTAGATAAATCTAGAACTTAGGTAAATTCTAGTACTTAGATAAATAGTACTTAATTCTAGTACTTAAGTGCTAGAAATAGTACTAAATTCTAGTATTTAATTCTAGTACTTAAGTACTAGATAAATGGGAGGGGGCAGGAGTAGACATAGGATTTACTTAGTACTAGACTTAAGTACTATGTCTAAGACCGCTTGCTCCTTGAAGGTTGCATCTCTGTCTTGATGCCTAAACAAAGTAGTTATTCAGTAAACATTTGCTGAATGAATAAACACCTTTTCAATGAGTCAAAAGAAAAAGAATCCTCATGCAGACCTCAGATTGTGCTACTGCAACACTTCTCCCACCATCTGCACATTTGGCCTCCACATGCTGAGTAGCCTGACTTTGCTTCTTCATGTCATAGCTGTAACTGCTACTTTGGAAATGACTCTTGCTGGCCTGACACTTTAGAGATACCATCTATTTCTGGACTTCCTAGCCACGGACAAGAATAGCATTTGCATGGACTGGGGAGGGTCCTTTGGACCGTACTTGATAACTTGGAGCTTGTAACGAGAGGCTGATGATTGGGAAGCCATCTGGTAGAGTGTGCTGAAGTCTCCTTTGGGGTCATCCATTCTCAAGGAACCGTCAGCTGTGCCAGGCAGTAGGGACGGGCTGAGCAGTCGCTCTTGGAGATCACATTTCAGGCACACTACAATAAAAGCAGCATTGGAGGAAGGAGTGTGGGTCATAAGTTACCTTAGGCTATGCCGTTAAGAAACAACATCTGGTATCCATTCCTTCTCTACCAGGCAAGCAAGGGATAGGAGGAGGCAGGAGAGTGGAAATAGGAAAGCCTGACTGGTTTGGGAAGGGAGAGTAGGTCTGGAACCTATAGTATCTCTATAGCTCTACATAACAGTTAACTTATTTTCAAGGGTCTGATGTGATTTTTATTTGTTTTACTTCTGGGCTGGCTGAGCCGTTGTCTCATAGTGAGACATCTGGCTTGTGATCCAGTCTGAGGAACACGCATCTTCTGTGGAGGAGGTAGCTAATACCAAAATATGCAGAGGCCCTTTGGCAATCACAGAAGGAAATCTTGCTGCTTCCTTGAGGCTAAGGCTTGGCAACAGTGCAGGTCAGATGAAGGAAGAGCAGGAAAGCAGAAGTCAGGCAGTCATATGACTGCTACTGTTTCTTTGTGGGCTAGTTCAGGGACATTCAGGGTGGGGGGAAAGGAGTAAGTTCCTGAAATAGTTTATTTTTTAATTCCCCAAAGAAACATGAGTTTAGGACCTTCTGGGCCTTGGAGCATCACAACAGCATCAGAAAACAGTTCTGAGGAGTGCTTAGGCTAGGTAGGAGTTACTCATCTAGGTATTATACTCTTCTGTATTAAGCTTCTGTTCCAGTAGGTAACTGCATATGCCACAGTTTATGATGTTCTGTTGCACAAGCTTGAATCCTTGATATTACACAGTTCTTCAATAAAATGTATACCTGATTTGAATACTGATAACAAACTTGTGAATATAGGAATGTTGAGTACTTCTGAGAAGGCTGGTAGTTGATGTTAGTGACTTGTGAAGTGACTGTACTAACTGCAACATAAGGTAAAAACATAGAAACAACATAGAAAAAAATATAGTGGCAGAATAGATGTCAGATCCAGCTGTCCCTCCTGGGCCACGTGAATAAGACCTAGACATTAATTCTGGGTGAGATGGCCCTCAGCCAGACATGTCCAAGAGCCCAGGAAGTCAGTAGGAGGGACTTTGCCTAGGACTCCCGCTTCCTCTCATTTCCTCTGTGCTTGACATCTCCATTTCCAGTCCTGGGGCTTTAGGACTGGACAGTGGTGTTCATCTGGCTGAGGTTTTCATTCTGGTTGCAGTAAGATTCATCTAGGGTGACACTCCTCAACCATTTTGGTATTAGGGACAAGTTTAATACAAGACGATTTTTCCACAGGGTGGTGGGGGATGGTTTTGGGATGAAACCATTCCTCCTTAGATCATCAGGCTTAGATAATTAGTTAGATTCTCATGAGGAGTGCACAACCTAGGTCCCTTGCATGCATAGTTCACAATAGGGTTTGGGCTCCTATGAGAATCTAATGACACAGCCCATCTGACAGGAGACAGAGCTCAGATAGTAATGCTCACTCACCTGCTGTTCACCTCCTGCTAATCCAGTTCCTAACAGGGCCCAACAGGGTTGGGGACCCCTAATCTAGGGAACTTGAAAAAGATACTGATGTCTGGGCCCTACCCCAGACCAATTAAATCAGGGTCTCTGGGGGTAAAGCCCAGACACTGGTATTTTTTTTTTTTTTAATAAGTTCCCCATGTGATTCTTATTGCAGCCCTGGTTAAGAACTACCCAAACTATGGTCTCAGCAGAGTGTCCCAAAGCTGGGAAAGCTATTTTAGCAGGGCTTAAATCTAGAACCAGGTGTGCTTCTCCCACCCAGATCCCAGATACAGATGTGGCAGACCCCAAACCTAAGAATAAAAAAAGAAACTCATGTGTAGCTCACTGTGTGGTCTGTCAGAGGAAGGCCCTTCTAAGGGACACACCTAGATATGGGGTGAAGGGCCATAGGCAGTCAAAGAGGCAGGTAGCATCAGATAGAGAACCTTGTAAGAAGGAGTCAGAGTGAACATCTGAGGTGCATGCCCCAAAGAGTCTAGAGGAGGAAAGCTTGGGGTTTTGGTTTTCTTTCATTTTTTTGTAGTGAGCCATAGTCCAGAAATCTACAGGCGTGGCAATACATCAATTTTTAAAGTAATAACGACAGCATAGTCTTTATTGTGGTTGTTTAAAATCTCAGGTGGGTCATATCCACCCTAGAAGAGGCCTAAGGTCCCCAGACCTCATTCCAGCTGTCCTGAATATCTGGATTCCAGTGAAGACCTTCCCAGCAGAAAATCTGACTACAGTCTAGATCTAAGTTCCACTGTGCATCCTGAAGACCTACAGAGTTCTCAAAAAAATGGTTATAGATGGAGATAAATATTCTGGCTCTGACCCTGGTGCTGAAAGCTTTGGAAAGAGAGAAGGGAAGCCAGATAAATTCTGATTAGCATCATAAGCAAATGCCATGCAATAGTGGAAGAAAGGCTGGTTATAGGAGTTCCTGGCCTCTGAGGGCCCCAGCCCTCCTAATGAAAGAAGTGAATCTCTAGCCCCTTTGTTCAGAATTGCTCAGTACAAGGCAGGTTAGTATAGTAGATAAAGGCCCAGGTTCTGGAGGAAGACAGACCTGGGTTTATGGACATTGTTTGGGCTGAGAGTGTCAAGTGCACAAAATACAGATTTCTGATCCTAAGGGTTAAGAGTGGGCCCTGTTGCCTGGCTTCAAATCCTAGCTCTGCTACTAATATTCTGTGTAGCCCTGAGAAGTGTGTTTAATTTCTCTAAGTCTCAATTTTCTCATATGTAAAATAGGGGTAATACTGTATTTAATTGAGTTGAAGACATTTTTTTTTTTTCATCTCTACATGTGTCTTACAATTGCCATTGGCCATGCAGGCACTCTAAGTTCTTACTTACTACTTTAACCTAAAAGAGCTCTCTCAAAATAAGTAAAATAATACTTCTAAGTGACAAGAAAGAGCTGTGTAATGTTCAATGGGCAATGTTTTCTTTCTTTTTTAAGAAAATCTTTATTATAAAAAATTAAAAATTTTTTTTTAATTTTATTTATTTATTTTTGAGACAGAGTTTCGCTCTTGTTACCCAGGCTGGAGTGCAATGGCGTGATCTCAGCTCACCGCAACCTCCACCTCCTGGGTTCAGGCAATTCTTTTGCCTCAGCCTCCTGAGTAGCTGAGATTACAGGCACGCACCACTGTGCCCAGCTAATTTTTTGTATTTTTAGTAGAGACGGGGTTTCACCATGTTGACCAGGATGGTCTCGATCTCTTGACCTCGTGATCCACCTGCCTCGGCCTCCCAAAGTGCTGGGATTACAGGCGTGAGCCACTGCGCCTGGCCTATTTATTTATTTATTTTTTTAGAGACAGAGTCTTAACTCTGTTGCCCAGGCTGAAGTTCAGTGGCTCCATCATGGGGTCACTGCAACCTTAAACTCCTGGGTACAAGCGATCCTCTTGCCTCAGTCTCCTGAGTAGCTGAGACTACCAGTGCATACCATCGTGCCTGGCTCATTTTTTATTTTTATTTTTTGTGAAGACAGGTCTATGTTGCACAGGCTGTTACTAACTCCTGGCTTCAAGGGATCCTTCCACCTTTGCGTCCCAGAATGCTGACATTACAGGAGTGAGCCACTGCACCTAGTTTGTTTTCCTTTTTACTGGTACATAAAACAGTGGTATATCTTATAATTGATAGCATCTTAGTCAGTGACATATGGTAACAGTACTGCCTCATAGTGTTGTGTGAAGATAAAATGGGATAATGCAAGAAATGGAGTTAATTTAATGCTTAGCACAGAGGAAGAGCTCAATAATGTTAGCTATATGCTAGCTTCTGTATAAAGTTGCTAGCTTCCTTAAATAGGGAAAATGGATAAGTGAATTCCAAAGGATAGGAAAAGGAGAAATTGGTATTATCAACCTTGGACAAAAGGGGTGGAAAAAAAGTTCTGGGAAGAATATTTTATACAAAGAAAAGCCAGATTAAAATCAAGTTAAGTTGGCAAAGCCATCCTGGGCACTAGGTTGAAATCGGGGAGAGAAGCAAAGACTTGATGGCCATCCCGAGACAGAAAGGGTCTTGGAAAGCATTAATCCTGTGTAATAACACCTCCGAAAAGCCCTTCCCTATCCTGAAGAAACAATGGTCATAAAGAGTTTTATAATAGCTGAAGAAAAGGAACATATATAAAAACTCAAATATACTTCTAGTGGCCAAGAAAGAGCTCTCAAAGGAGGCAGTAACCCCAATGAGTTGTATCAAAGCCTAGGAGAAGGGCTTTGGTAAACATCACATTCAATTTAGCCTTCAACCCTCAATGATCTCTGTAGCCACTACCACTACCAGTATTCTGTTCAATGAAAAAGATGGGTACAAACTCCCACCCCTAAAAAAGACATACTTTGGTAATTTCTCTTTGGAGCTGGTCCCTGAGGACTCAGCTTTCCCAGCCTCAGTGTGGCTGATTAGCCTGATGGGTAGGCCCATCTGCAGGCCTGGCTGCCCCAGGTCCTGCCTGAGCCAGCCTTCAGAAGAGATGGGAGAATGGAAATGGCCTTATTCTTACCATTTAGTGGGACCTGGAATAAAGTATAATTGCCAGGTAGAACAGTATCCAGAGTATTTTTGGCATGCCCAGAACACTGGATTGGTCTCTCGGTTTCAGTAATTGCCTGAACTGCTTTGTGAACAAGGTTTTGGGCCACTGGTTGTCCTCCCTGGGGTGTATCTCTTTAGTTTTCCCCCATTTGTTGCCTCCCTAGTGAGATCTTTGTTTAACCTTGGCTCTCTTCCTCTTGCCACAGGCCCTATTGATATTGTTGAGGTAGCACCATGCTCCCAATTTTAATGCCAATAATATTTACCACATTAAAAATGAGAATATTGAGAAATGTGATTCATTGTGTTCTTATGTAGTCTAGCCAATTCCCCATCATTGAGGTGTCTGAGACTTTGCCCCTAAACTAACTGGCCCTCACTGGTTGGGCTTAATCAGGTTCAGCTTTCTAACCATGATTGCTTTCTAGAACTTCTCTTCTTATTCCTCATGCTTATACTGAACAGCCTCATCCAATCCTCTTCCAGTCCCTAAACCTCAACCATGCTATATTCCACAGACTCACCAATCTAGAGCCCTGATCCCAGATAAGAATAATCATAGTCTATATATATTTTGGGGGTTATGTACTTGGATTATCTCTGGCTCTGGAAATGTTGCTGAAACACTGGGAAGAAAGAAGAAGATGAATTTGTTCTTGGTCTGTTCCACTGTTATGTAGCCAGGCTTTGAAAAATATCTCCATGCTGACGATATCATTGTCTACAGTCTGAAGGTCAATGTCAGTTCCCGGAATAGAACTCTCTGCAAAAGAAAGGGAAATAAAGTGTTCACTTTGATAGTAAATTTTGAATAATGTAAAACTTTAGATACATTCATCTTTTCTTATTTGAGATGGGGTCTCATTATGTCACCCAGGCTGGAGTACAGTGGTGGTTCATACATGCATTCATTGCTCACTGTAGCCTCCAAATGCCTGGGCTGTAGCAATCCTTCTGCCTCAGCCTCCTGAGTAGCTGGGACTATAAGCACTCACTATCATGCCTAACTAATTTTATAAAAAACTTTTTTTAAGAGATGAGGTCTCTTTATGTTGCTCAGGCTGGTCTCTAACTCTTGGCATCAAAGCAATCTTTTTGTCTTAGCCTCCCGAGTAGCTGGGATTAGCTGGGATTATAGGCACTTGTCACTGGCCTGGCTTCCACACCCATTTTGTGATCCATTGACTGTACCTCTAGACATCTAGCCTAGACACATTCTTGAGTAGTACACAAAGAGACATATGCAAAGCTGTTTGTTACAGCATTGCTGTAATAACAATCAAAACCCCCATCAGGAAGCAGTTCAAATCCCCTCAATAGGAAAATTTTAGATAAATTATGGCACACTCAAACTATAAAGTATTATGTGTGTGTTAATAAAGTAAAGCTGAATGTACTCACATGAAAAACTAGGAGATAGTAAGTAAATAAAGGAAGTTGTAGAACAGATATAATATGATCCCATTTATATAAAAATAAAACTATCTGCCTAAGTACATATATATGTATGTATGTAAATGCATTTTAAAAAGCTCTGGAAAGCTATCATCAAACTGTTAACAGTGGACAGGAAGTGGAAATAGCACAGGGTTCTGAGATATTTTCCCTTTTTACTATTCATACTTCTATACTGTTTGAATTTTATTGGAGTCCTGTATTTCTTGTGTTAAAAAAAAATTCTAGGTCGGGCATGGTGGCTCACACTCGTAACCCCAGCACTTTGGGAGGACGAGGCAGGTGGATCACTTGAGCTCAGGAGTTAGAGACCAGCCTGGCCAACATGGTGAAATCCCATCTCTAATAAAAATACAAAAATTAGCCAGGTGTCGTGGCAGGCGCCTGTAATCCCAGCTATGTGGGAGGCTGAGGCACGAGAATCGCTTGAACCTGAGAGGTAGAGGTTACAGTGAGCCAAGATTGGGTCACTTGCACTCCAGCCTGGGCAACTCCATCTCATAAATAAATAAATAAATAAAATACTAAAACATGGGAGAAAGAAATTAACCCACTGTAAAAACAAACAAAAAACCCAAAGCATTCTAGAATATAAAAACAACCAAAAATTATACAGCAATGCAAATTACTTAGTTTAACAAAGGGGACTTCAGCTTCACATTGTTATTTAAAAAAAAAAGTTTTTTGAGATGGAGTCTTGCTCTGTCACCCAGATTAGAGTGCAGTGGTGCAATCTTGGCTCACTGCAACCTCCACCTCCTGGGTTGAAGCGATTCTGCTACCTCAGCCTCCCGAGTAGCTGGGATTACAGGCACCTGCCGCTGTGTCCGGCTAATTTTTGTATTTTTAGTAGAGATGGGGTTTCAGCATGTTGGTCAGGCTGGTCTCAAACTCCTGACCTTGTGATAAACCCACCTTGGCCTCCCAAAGTGCTGGGATTACAGGCATGAGCAACCACGCCTGGCCTTATGTTGTTATTTTACAGTGAAAATGTGTTCTATTACTACTTGTTATAAAAAAATGAATTTAAAAAAGCTAAAAGAAAAAAAGATAAATTTTTGGGTATCCCCTTATAGTAGAGAACCAAGCCTGGAGCGTCAGTCATTGGCATACTGTATCTCACAAGTGTGTTTAACAGCAAAGAGGATGGGAGAGGTCTGGTGGAGTGTGATATAATTCCAAATCTGAATGAATGGAGCTGGGTAGGTGGGGTAATGAGGCTTTGCTGGTGCACTTCCAGCTTCAGGCAACACTAACTAAGGAATTGGGGTCTGGGTCTGCAGGTAAAGGTCATCAGTGAAAGGCAAATATGAGGTGGTGGAAGAGGCACAGAGGAAATAAGGGAAGAGCTAGTAAAAAACTGAGGAGGTACCCTACTTTCTTTGCTTCATCAGGAGGGATCTCTGAAATACTTTTACAGAGGGCCTAAGAAAAGCCAGTTGGTCCAATGAATTAGCTTCTGTGTATGACTCATGAACCCCAGGGAGAAGGCTGGATTATTTCTAGAACCACATTCCTGAGGACAAGTTTGCAGAGGTGGTAGACTCTTCACAGGGAACAAAGGGGCTTCAGTCCAACATACTTGTTCCAACACAGGGGAACTGTGGTGAGAAATGACTTCATGTCATATTTAACAATTTATCCTGTGGCTCTAAAGGGGCACCAAATGCATTTCTCTATGGCTAGAATGATGAAAACTCTGCCATCTTCTGTGAATAGTTATGAGGATTCATTAGTTAACTAGTTAGTTATTTCATTAATTCCATCAGATATATTTGACACGTTGTGCCCTTATGAAGCTTATAAAGCAACATGAATCTTGACCATTTTTCCTAAACTCTCATCTGCCTCATTTTGTTTTAGGGTACTACTGTGATATATATAAAGTCATTGCCAAAAAAAATTTCTTGTAAGTAAAGAGAAATGTCTTTTTAAAAAATAATGTGAATTTTATTTTGTTACAGGCAAAACGAGAAGTAATTTAATTTTTCTAAGCCTGAAGCCTGCACTTTGATTTGAGTAACAAATGTGAAAATGACTGAGCAGCTTCCCTTCTATGAGGCAAAACAGTTCTTAAAACATAAAGTGGCGGCTACTAAAGCAATGCAATCGAGGCCAGGCATGGTGGCTCATGCTATATAGTCCCATCTACTTCGGAGTCTGAGGGAGGAGGATAGCTTGAGCCCAAAAGTTCAAGACCCATCTGGTTAACATAGTGAGGCACTGTCTCTTGCAAAGAGAAAGAAAGAAAGAGAAAAGAAATAGAATTGAGCAAAGGAGCTAAGAAAGTGGAGAAGATAAAATTGCTTAGCATTGAAATGACAGAATTTTGGGAAAAAGAAGTAAGTGTTTCTTTTCTTCTCCCCAGGGAAAGGGTAGATGATGAGACACTCTTATCACATTGAGGGAACAATGCAAAGCCACCTCCCATCAAGAATCTGAAAGTGAGGAAAATAAAGATTTCCTTAGAGAGTTAAGCCATAAAATCCACACAGAATGGTGAGGCCAGTGAAAAAGTTACCCTAAGAAGGGAGAATAGCATATTGCCCAGAGCAAGATTTGGTTGTAGCCTTATTGATGGTATTGGCATATTTTTTTTGGGACAGGGTCTCACTCTTTTGCCCATGTTGGAGTGTAGTGGTGCAATTTCAGTTCTCTGCAACCTCCACCTCCTGGGATCAAGTGATTCTCCTGTCTCAGCCTCCTAAGTAGCTGAGAGCACAGGTGTAAGCCACCACATCTGGCTAATTTTTGTATTTCTTTGTAGAGATGGGGTTTTACAGTGTTGCTCAGGGTAGTCTCAAACTCCTGAGCTCAAGTAATCCACCTGCCTCGACTTCCCAAAATGCTAAGATTATAGGTGTGAGCCATCCTGCCAGGCCTATATTGGCATATTTAACAAATGAATGTGTCTGTTGGAAGGGGATAGGGTTGGCCAGAAATGCAGCACAGAGAAGGGGAACAACAAGGGCATGTGCTGGCAGTGCCCATCCAAGTGCAGCTCAGAGAAGGCATGCAGACTCAGTGATGTGTCCTAGTGGCAGGGATGTGTTTGTCAAGTCTCTGCTCTTTTTGGTGATTATGGTTATGGTTTGCCCTCTAAATCATTCCGGTTAATCCTTTAGTCTTGAGCTTAGCATGGTGTGTGTCTTTAAAAGAGTGCTGTGCTGGCAAAATTAACTTCTGATCCTGCAAATCTAAAGAACCAGGCCTGAAGCAAAGCTTCTCTATGGAGGAAAATGTCAGGTGGTTAGGTCCTCCTGGCAGGCAGCCAGCCAGGCAGCAGTCTTCCCTCCTGTCACCCATCAATGTTCTGATATTCTTTTCTAACTTCTTAATCTACATGTTCTTGGAAGAACCATGGAGCACAACTGCTTTCTTGAAAAAGTTCTCACATAATCTCCATAGAGGCACTGTGTTTCAGGTTTGAGCTTTCAGTTTTGCAGTTTCAGAAAGGAGTGTGCACTTTCTCCGGGGCAGACTTACATTATCCAAACTAGAGACTTTCATGTAAACCAGAATATTTTAGAGCCTAAACTTTCCATTTTCTCTGTCACTGGTCTAGGCATTCATTTCCTTGTGCCTGGATTATGGCAGTAGCTTCTTAACTGCGCTAGCAAACTCCATTTCTTCCCCTCCATTACTTATTATTACTACTACCAGTTACTTTTTCTGAAACATGGTTTCATCAGACCCCTCCTATGCTCAAGAGCACACACTGCCTTCTTGCTGACACTTACTCATCCTGTATCACTTGGTACCACTCATTATTCTACAAGTACCCTATCCTGCCCTTCCTTTTTGATGCCTCAGACTATTTCCTCCTCATCACTACCTGAGATCCTATATTGCCATCCTTGAAAACCGAGTTCAAATGCCACCTCCTTCATGAAGTCTGCCATTATGGTATTCCCTCCATTATTAGAGTCCCATAGCTCTTGGTTTACATTTGTAATATAGTTCATATTACATTTTACCTTGGTAATATTGTTATTTGGGAATACATTTTATCTCTTCCATTTAAATGTAAATTTAAGGTTTCTTTTCACTTTTTCCTTCCTATCAGTGCCTTGCATGGAGCTGACGCTTAGCAAATGCCTGAGTTGAACAGTAGCTCCTTCCCCCTCAGCTCTCATTACTTTTTCCTGTAACTCTTGAGCTTCCTCTAAGTTAGTCTTCTTGCCACATGACTTCCTTCCTTAGTACTTTCATTACTGTCGGCCCATGGCCTGTACCTCTTCCAGAATTCAACTTAGGACTGACTTTGTCCAAGAAGTTACGCTTAATTATACCCTCCCTTACCTAGCG